AATTTTTAATTAATTAATGTAATTGTCTTTTAAATAAAATAAAATTGAGCATTCAGAATTGAATTTGGGCTCACAATTAGACTTTGAGTCTTTTAATTGGGCCTTCAAATCTTAATTCAAAGTTGACCTAATAGGCATGAGCACATGCCAAAATGATCTAAAATGATTAATTTGAAACAAAACCCAATCGAACTCAATAAAATAAATTTAATAAAAATGCTTAAGTTAGCTCAAATCAAAATGTGAGCTCAAATTGAATTTGGGCTCATAATTAGACTTTGGACCTTTTAATTGAGCCTTCAAATCTTAATTTAAAATTGATCCAATAATAAAATTGAATTAGGTTGAAGCCTATGCAAAAATGATCCAAAATGATTAATTCAAAATAAAATCCATTCAAACTCAATAAAATAAATCCAATTAAAATGCCTAAGTTAGCCCAAATCAAAATGTTAAGATCAAGTCTAAAAATCAAATAAATGCCAATCGATTCGAACAAAATTAAGTATCTAAAAATCAAATAAACTTCAATTAATCTGAATAAAATTAAGTGTCTATAATGATGATAACAATGTAAAAAAAAAAAAAAGTTTCATATAACCATTTTAAGATATGACATTTAGCAAATTTAAGATTTAAGTTATAGCATTTGTAATCTTTTTCTTATCTTTAACATACGGCTTTCTTTATATATAAAAAAAAAAATAGTTGCCAATATTTTAAGAAAATAAAAAATATGCAAGCCTAGCAAGAAGAGCGAAGGGGTGGGTGGAAGCAATAAACAAGGGGTTTTATGGAAGTTGACAAGGACAGAGATGAGGTAGTTGCACTCTCATCAAGCCCCTACTTTAATTCTCTTTTAAATGCCCGGCCTCCTCCATAATGGCTCCCAAGCAGACATTCATTTCATGGGGAATACTATACTTTTCCTTGCACAAACTAATGGCTTGCCTTCATATCTGCTTCTTCTCATACTTCCACAGAATCTTTTGAACTTATCAAAACTTAATACTTTAATTAGAGAAGAAAGATCTCTCTCTATCTCTCCACCTACTATTATATTTATTCAAAGTGTTTTTTTTTTTTTTTATGGGTTTAGTTGACCAAACTGATTCCGAGGAACTTTCTATGACTTCCTTATATGGATATCTCGATCTCTTCCCTTAAGAGCGCGAACTCTGCTTTGTCCATAGGTGACATTGAAACAAATATAATATTTAATACTTAATATTAATTATTTTATTTTTATTTTTAACATAATTTGTATTCCAATTAATAAGTGTTGGAAGGGTGCAGTGTCCCTAAGTCTTGAGAAAGCATGTTGGTCCAGCGAGACAGGCATACTCCATGAGAAAAATGGAAGCATTGAAGTCAATAAAACCAGATGGCTGGGACTTCTAGGAACAATAATCGATCAAAACAGTACCTCACACCTCACCCCAGCAAACCAGTAAAGCCTAGCTATGGAGTGCCAGCTTCCACTTCTCCAGAGCCTGAGTTTCTCTAAACGAGCTACGTGGATAACCTAGTAGTCGTCAGATCATCTCCTGTCACTTTCATTCATCATGTTAGAGAATATGCTAATTGATGACCATCATCCATAACTCAGCTACAGCCTGGATTATCAAAACTGTACACCCTAGGCTAAAACCCTAATTGTAGTAGTATTTCAACTTTTTATCTTTTCCTTTTTGGGGAATTAAAATTGGTTATCAGAGTGAAAAAAATGGGTTTGTCCCATAGTTTTCATATATATGCACTCCTAAGACTAAATGATCCAAAATTTTCCCATTATATTTAATAGAATTGAGTATTGGAGTATGCAATATTAGTTCAATTTTGGGGAGAGTTTGGCAAATTTCAAGCTCTCCAATCCCAAGACAGAAAGGGAGAAAAAGAAGCAGAACAAATTAGCTAAGTAGGAGACTGAAAGTAACTGCACCAATTTAATTCAAAAGACAATTGAATCTTAGCATTAGCAGAGCAAAACAGAAGAAGAAAGCACAACAAACGAAACAAGAGCATTAACACTAGCCTTTCCCTATCCTCCTTTTCTCATTCTCTTGGCCATTGCTAAAGCTACACTGACCTATAAACCTCATTTAAACATTACTGAAAAGGCTAAAGCCAATGCTCTCTCATTCACTGTTATAATAATTCAAAAAGGAAACAAAAGCTGGTGATAGAAAAAAAGTTCTTACAGACTTTCTTACTTGAATTAATCTAGCATTAAAAAGATGTAGTAACTTACATAGTAACAGTACAAAGAAAAAAAATCCTACCTACAACCAGCAGGTTCCTATCCTTAGTTGTGAAGAGGATTAGGACCCGTATGAACTATCCTCTTATAATCTCCATATACAGTGTTTGGATCACCTTCATTTCCAGCAAACTGAGCTGAGCTTGATGGAGCATGAAAGGAAGCGTTGTCAAAAACCCGGGCTTTCCTTGGGGGAGACCTGAAAGACTGATAAGTACTACTGGCTTCTTCATGAGCAACAAAATGCAAACCAAACTGAGAAAAAATCAAGATGATCCACAAGAAGAAAACTGCAGTTCTAGCCCCACTATATCTGCCCCCTCTTGTTTTGACTCCTCTATAAATTGTCATTGCACTGTTGATCAGTTCAGTTGTGGTGGAGCCCAACTGGAAAAATAGTACTGCTATGGAGCTTTAGAATCTGAAAGAGAGATGAGGACCATAAAAGGCTAGTGTGAAAAGAAGTGGGTTTTGAGCTAATTGATTCTGATCTGAATCTCTGAAAGCAGTAGAAACTTGGTTAGCTAATAAGCTAAAGCTAGCTCTATTTTGAGCATGAGAATTTTAGAAAAATGAGAGAAAAACCTTTTAACTTTGGCTGCCCCTTATCTTATGGGTCTGGTCACATGATCTTAGCCCTTGATTCCTGGAAACTTCTTTTATATATATCTTTGGATTTTGCACCTTTTACTCTCACACCGCCAACCCCCACTGCTCGCATTTTCTTTGCTATTTGGCATCTGTTTTCTAGTTTTTGTTCTTGTTTGTTTATGTGTTCATAAATGCTACAAATCCTTTGGTATTATTTCGCTCAATGTTGCTGGGAGAGGGTGGTGCTGTGAGACTGTCCAGTATTAATAGCCGTTGTCTGTGGGAAAATATTCGAAATTGAAGTTGGATGAATTTATATTTTTATACAAAATGCATTGGAAAAACAAAACTTGACGCTTTCTTTCTCTTATATGATGACTGAAATACCATTTCTGCTTTCGTGCCTCCACTTCTTAATTCAGTAGCTATATATGGTTTGACTTGTTAGCTTGTTTGCATGTCACCCAATTCATGATTTCTTTTTTTTTTTTTCTTTAATTGCATACACTGAACAATGATGGAATTATCATAGTTAAGAATTTTAGGCATGTAATTAGGTAGATTCATATTAAAATTTACATTTGATGTATTCTAGTACATAAATTTTATATAATATTAATAAATTAGACGGTACTATTTTATTAATAAATAAATATCAATTTTTAAAATAGATATATAAAAAATTAATATTTTTTTGAAATTTTATTTATTAATAAAATAATATGATTTGAGTCATCTCATTAATAAAATAATATTATTTTACTCACAAATAATATATAAAATTTATACAATATATTAAATATAAACTTTTATCTTGCGCATTTAGTTTTGTTTCACATGCAATTGCTTCAAAAAGACTTAGGATGATCATGAATAATAAATAAATAGATATTTGTCATTATTTGATTCGGATAATTATAAACAGATAATTAACGAATTAAGATAAAATATTTATTATCTGTGATGGATTCAAAGCAAATATAGATAGTATCCCCTAAATATTTAATATCAAAATTCATTTAAGTTTTAATAAATAATAATAATGATCCAAATCCATATCCAAATCGATTGTCTGTTTATATATATAATATAAAATTTTATACTTGTAGAAGATTTGGGACTTTAAAAAATAATTTTTATTTATTATTAATTAAGAGTGAACTTAAATTTTAAATTAAATTTTTGTTTATTTTATATTTTGACAAAAAATTTAAACAAATGAATATTTTGATGGATTCGTATATTTAAACAGATAATATTTATTTAAATAGGTTCGAATTTAGATAATAATATTAAACTTAAATGAATATTTAAATAAATTTAAATATTATAAATATTATATAAATTCAGATATAAATATCTCAAAAATAAAGATATTCCCCCCAATTGGTTAAGAAGACTAGTTAACTTAAGATGGATCAATGAAACAAAGGCTAAGGAAATTAGGCACAATGCAGCTTAAAAAGTTAGGCTCATGGGGTATTAACGGCCTCCTTTTAACGGGCCAAGATGGGTTCAGAGTTTGACCTTAGCCTTTCTTTTCCCAGCCCATTTAATCATAAAACAAAATCACAATGTCATTCCAATATATATTTTATCCTTCTCATAAATGACAACTTTTTTTACCAATTTTATTTTAGTTGATACATATCCTTAGTTAATAAAAAAAAAAAAAAACCCTTTTTTTACCAATGGCATGGTAGGTTGATTCAATCCCTTTGAGTAGTATAAATTATTTTAAATTTTAAATTTAATTTTAATTTAGTTAATTTATGTAATTATTTTAAAAAATAATATTTAATAAATTTAAAATTTATGAGTACAATTTATTTTTTTTATTCTCAAACTAATTGGAGATTGAAGAACTTATTAACCCTTAACTAAAAAGAAAAGAAAATGTTTATCAAAAATTAAAAAAAGTTGAAAATTCAATTTAAATATTGACCATTTGGTATTATTTTTATATGACAATATCGAACCTTTTCTTGACTTTTAATCAATTTTAGCAGGGTTAACATAAAATGAAAAAGGGCAAATTCTTCTCGTACTGACCAACCGACGTAACCCTTGAAATCATATACGAGTTGCACACGGGGAGGGAAGTATTAGTGGCGTACATTGATTTGGCAACTCAAAGGGGAATATGTGAACAGTCAAATGAAGAAGATTCGTGAGTCGTGAGCATCTTCCACTTATTGATCCTGTTTTTTTTCTTCTCGTCTTAAAACATCTCCCTACTCCTTTACCCGCTCTATTTCTAAATTCCTCCTCCTTCCTTCCTTCTTTAAATATATACTAGTATAAATCCTATTCCTCCCTTCACTTCTCTTCTCTGCTGGCCACATTTTTCCAGGTATATACATGTATTTATATCTATATATTATCTCACTTTCTTTCTTTCTCAAATAATGCATACAATATATATCTGTTGGGAGTTGTTGTTTTATTCTCCAAAATGTTCACTTAATTTCCATTTTTGATGTGGAGTTGCTGCTTTTGCTTATATTTTGGGAACCAATTTTGACTTTGTTTCTTTTTTTTTAATGTTGATGCTTGGAAATACCAGGGAAATTAAATATCTCGTATGATTGGTTTGGTTTTAAGATTTGGGTTTGCTTTCATGGGACCGCTAATTCCAGTATTGGCTTAATTAGTATTTATAAGCTCCTCTTTCATTTTTTTATGCATATAACATAAAACTTAGCACTTGTGACCAGAAACGGTTATGTTTTGATCTCTAAACTTTTCTAGGTAGATAGAGCACAATCCGTGAGATGCTCATATTTGAATTAATGCAATAATTGATGCATATGGTGCTGGAAGTTCCTGAATAGCACATTTCGGTGGTCCATGATAGCTTCTTTCACCAGCTAAATCATTCTTAAATTGATTAGAGAAATATATTATAGGAGTAGTTTTCTGATCCATGAAAGTCAGTACAAAATATGCAATCCTGTATTTCATTTGTCGTGTTACTTGGTGTTTTAGTTGGAATTTTTAAATGCTGCTTTCATTTAGGTGCACAGTTTGAAGTTATTGATAAAATATTTGCTTTTGTTTCTGAATGAAGGCCATACATGAATAGGTGCTGTGTTTTTTCCCCTCATAAGGGCGGCTATTGTATTTGGAGTTGGGATAGAATATCTTCTTTATTTGGTTTAGAGAATACTTGTTTAATTAATCTTCCCTTATGTTCAATGGACTATTCTCTATCCAACTATATGTCCCAATAATTCACAGGACATTGTTAATTCTTCAAAATAGTGTTTGGTAGAAGCCTTATACTATACTTGATTTGTTGAATGTGATTTCAACATATATTGCTGCTTAATTCTAACATTGCCGCTTTTTCATTATACACAGATTAAGCATAGAAGCTCCTTGCACACTTCTTCCAACTGTTGCCAGCAAGTTCTTGCTGGCAGGTAAAACCATTTTGCTCATTCCTTTGAGGATTATGAGTTCCCAGACGGCACTGAAACCTAGAAAAGCCTTAGAGGGAGTACATGGGGTGCAAGTGGCTCCTCATTCACCATTTGCATTGGAGGAGATTAACCAACAAGGCGACTTCCAATCCTCTCATGATAAATCATTTATTACAGCAAATCAACCACTATTGATGCAGTAAGTTAAAGGGACAACTTGTCTATCAAAATTTGTTTATGTCAAAATATTGGTTGCTCAAAGTATATAGAGTGTTGAACTGTTTAAATCCTGTCTATCAATGTATTTGAGTATAGTCTCACAAATATGCTATTACTGCCTGTAACCCACAATAACATACTGCCTAATGTTTTTCAGAGTATGGCAGCAGAGACCAGCTTGTTTAAGGCCTGTACGATGTTGTATGCAAGGTATGGTAATAACGGTATTTATTTCTTGTGGTCTCTCTCTCTCTCTCTGTCTGTCTCTCTGTGTCTCTGTGTGTTTATGTGTGTGTCTCGGCTCTCCGTTCTGTTGTATAAGATTCTTTGCCTATGCTTATCTTTTAAAACTTTTATTAGGGGACCAGAATCTTCTAGAGACAGTTGCCAATGTCTTAACATCACTTCCTTTTATTGCTCTTGGGATCCAGGCCCCAAGGTAATATTCTCTTTAATTTGCTTCATAAATAAGATATCAATATCATATTACCATTTTTTATTAATACTTTGTTTACTTGGATGCAGGAAAAATTTGAATTCTAAGCTGTATGCTAATTCATTAATTGGAGTAGGTGTTACCTCTACTTTGTACCATTCTTCAAGAGGAAGGCTGAGGAAGTACTTAAGGTGGGCTGACTACACAATGATAGCCACAGCTACTGTGGTAAGTTCAATCTGATCAATAATTTTTTAGGAATAAGACTCGGGAAAAATTATCAATATGCATTTAATTTTGGAAATACAATGAACTTGAAAATAATCCTCACACAGTTTCTGTTGGTATCCTGTAACCTGAATAAGATCCTTCTGATTAGTTACTTGTTTGTTTTTACTGACTTTGTCAATGTTAAGCATAAAAATGAATGATAAAGCATTGTTAGTATGCTGCATCAGTAGACTTGATTGAGAACACAATGCTGCCTGGTGAAAATTTACTTCTACATTCGATTTTTTTAAATGCTAAATCAGATTCAAATTTCTAACTCTGAAAATCCTTTTTGCAGTGTCTATCAAGAGCTCTTAGAAATGAGAACCCAAAGTTACTGATGGCAGCTTCTGCTTTACTGCTGCCTGTCCAGCCTCTGATGGTTTCAGCTGTTCACACTGGAATGATGGAGGTAAACTAGCTGGTTATGTTCTTGTAAGTTTATTAAATTAAAAACAACCTGGGGTTCCTTTTTTTTTTCCCATTATAACTTGTTGCTATTTATTTGATGGGGTCAAAAGAGCTACATGTCTTTGAGAATCTTTATCCTGTTATAGTTTTATTCACCTCTCTGAAGGAATTAAGTTAAGCAAAAAGGTTTAATTATCCAAATTTTAATTTTAGCATTGTGGTTTTTAGTGGAAGCAATGCCCAGTGTATAACCAAATTCATGTGGATAATAGTTCCATGCACAACAAGTTTGATCTTTTTGTTTGTCTATTCTCTGATTGCCAATCATTGCTCCAGATTATCAGTATAATTGATCAAGTTACCATCTAGGCTCAAGCTGTTCTTATATTGAAACCTTTTTGTTGTCGTTGATCCATTCCAGGTAGCATTTGCAAAAAGAGCATTAAAAGATCCAGAACTAAGGATGGTTCATCATGTGCATAAGATGTCATCATTCTTGGGAGGTGTTCTCTTCATTGCAGATGATGTGTTTCCTAGGACTCCTTTCCTTCATGCTGCATGGCATCTTGCCGCAGCTGTCGGTGTTGGCACCTGTAACAAGCTTCTTGAGTAGTTCTATTGTTGCCTGTTGGCAATGAAAGTTCTCCCTTTAGGATGGAAAAAAAAAAGAAAAAAAAAACCGAAAAAGATCAAAATAATTGAATTACAATGTAGATCTCGTCATTCATTTGCAGACAAGTTCAAGCAAACCCCCTCCAAAAAAGCCAAAAATATTAACTCCAACTGCCATCCAGAATTTGTAACTCTAGAGCTGTAACGTCCCAAAGTTTTGTTACTGTGAAAAAGAAATGATGCATAAATGCCAATGCATCAACGTTCTCTAAAATTCCTGCATGAAACAGGCTTCAGTCAAATACAGATATGACATAATGTCTCTGTACCTATTGTACCTTGTACGTTAACTAGAATGATTGAACATAAGCCCAGCAAGAATTTCTAACAAAGAAATTCTTGAAATCGGAAAAAGTTAAGACGGTGAACAAAAATTGTACACGAAACTCAATACCCTGATTTCTGACAAAAGTACACCAAATTTCTTCCTGTCTTTAGAGTCTTACAATTCAAGCTGTAACTAATTTACAAAAAATCACAAAATCAGGGTGTGAAAGAATACGATGTGTTATATCCACAGCTTGTTAGATTCAGCAGCTGCTACAGCAATTGTGAAACAATCTCCAGTTAATGCTGGGGTAATCCCTCCAATAGCAAAATTGTCGATATTGTTGTGTCTGGAATCATATACAAAAAAATGCAACTCCCCCATCAACTCAATCCTGGTGAAATAAAGCCTCAATGCTCCCAAAATTGAATTTTATGCCCTCTTGCCGCATGAAGAGGATTAAAAAAATAAAAAAATTAAACACGAAAAAGGGGATTAGCTGCAAGATGTGCTTGCTAAAATACAGGTACAAGGAACACCTATCAAAATCCCTCTCCAAGCAGATCACGTAGCCGACGATGATCTTGAGTCTTCTGATTTGTTTGTACGACACATGCAATCAGGGCATGGGAAGGTATATATTGAATCATTTGGCTTTTTCAGTTCAATTCCCTTCGAGTCACTGTGTGACCGCATATTCAGCATTTGACGCTTAAAACTTTTCCACCTGGAATACAAAGGAAGGTATATTGATTCTGGTAGTTATTTCCAATTATCACAAATAAGTAGCATTGTAAAACATCACATGATGATGTTTTTCATTATAAAACATAGCAACTCCCCCTAGATTCCCCCTAAGGACATGTCCACATCAAATTGCAAACTACCCCATTAAGCTCCTACTTTGCCAAAGAAGAAAACTGATTTATATAAGATCTGAAAGTGTATAACATAGTTGTTTCAAGACGTATTTCATCATCTAACTGCTAATGCTTAAATTGCCTTCCAAAACTTTCAAACATTATGCTCAATAGTATTGCCAACAATATTTTTTTTCTACCCTATTACAGCCACTAAACCAAAGATAGAAACCAATCCCTGTTTAGGCCTGAATCCTAATAGAAATTGCATATTTTCAATCATTTTGGTCCACTTTTTTTCCTGCTAAATCAATCATTTTGGACCATCCTTTAAGAAAAAACAGGCAACTTAAAGAATAAGTAGATTTTAGAAATAAGATAAATGCATACCCAATATTAGGATTATCAAATAGCAATGCCAACTTTCGCTTGTCTGGTCGAATTGTCTTGGAGTGCCCTCCATACAAGTATCTCCTGTGGCCCATCAGAAAATGAGGGAAATTTCCACCTTGAGTTGTCACAAATACCTCACTATGAAGGCAAACTGTATAGTCTATGGCAGCCATCCTGGAAGAAAAGTTCTGAATACAGTAATCCAAGTCAAAGAGATGGCGAAAGATCAAATCTCAAAGGCATTATAGAAGGACTTGAAAAAAATTTAAAAAAAAAAGGAGTGCTGAAATCTCGCATGTGCTTCCAACCTTATATGGAGCCAGTTCTTCCTCAGAAGCCAGCATCTCTTTCGTTTGCAAGTTGGGAAACATTTCCAATAATGGAGCCATTGTTTTCTCAGCATTGTATATTTTTCCAGATGCCAAAAAAATATACGTATTGTTATCAAATCCCATACCTCTAAGCATCAATCCAACCTGATAGGAAGAAGAAAATACTAAATGAATTATCATTGATATGAGTGTTGATAACTGTGTCTGCACATAGATATGAACTATCTCAGGGTCACACACAAGAACACCATAGTCATCACACAGTTGCAATGCTCATCCTTTGTCGTGAAATTTTTTAATATGTAATACGCCAAGTTTTGATGAAGGCCAAGCAACAAACGAATGATACTGACAAATAGCCAAGTAAATTCTATACAAGAGCAACAATAAGTCAACTTTCCTAAGATTCCATTACTTCAAGCAGCACCAGAATTCGTAAAGGAGTGGTCAAATTCTGAGATCAGTCCTTGTATCATACAAAAATGTTGGATTTAGTCACTTTTCTATATTTGGACAACTTGATTCCCCACTCTTTTGACTAAATTTGTACAAATAATTGAACAGGAACTAAATCCAATATTTCAGGTATGTTTCAGAATTTGATCTAGAGGAGCAAATTCACCCACTTCAAGATCTTTAGCACATAAAGAAACTATTAAGCAAAATCAGTCCTAAATGTGCAAGCTATAAATAATTCTGCCAAAGCCACAGCCTCACTAATTTTACAATTACATCAGTTCAGCATAATACTAATACTCAATGCTTGCACCGGACAACAAAGCATAGAGTATATTGTGACCAGGTAAAGGAAGAAAAGAACAAATAATCACTGAACCAGAAAAAAGTAGTTCCATAATTATGCCATAATGAATGCTTTTTGTCAGGTTACACATGCTATAAACTTAATTGCCAAGTAGTTTGAAAATTCTAGTTTTATTTTGATGCCATATATCAACACTTTAGAGCATGAACAGAAAATTTTCATGAAGAACTAAAATATTTTGAGAGCCTCTCTGACTACCATCACCAAAAAAGACCTTAAATAATAAATAAACTAATCAAGAAAACTTATAAACCCATTCTTAAAGCTGTTCTTTACCTATCCTATTCTACCAAGTACCATCTCAATCTAACAACAATAAAATTATATTTGTTTTCTTATTGGATGAGTATGAATACTTATCATCTGGGGGAGATTGCTACAGTTTAATTTTCAATTGAAATCAACTCTAGTAAACAACAAAATTGCTACCAACAATACCTCTAAAGGAGTAAGTGGGCATTTCCCGTTAATCCTGATTGCTCCAGGGCGTATAACTCGACCAGGTTTTGTAAATTTTCCTTTCCATCCTCTTTCCCTCGCTTTTTTCATGTCTTCTTTTTCTTGCTCCCCACCATCAAATACACAACAAGAGAAAGCAACCATATCCTGCACGTGAAAGAGTATATCATACACTTCTTACAAAATGGAGTTGACATTAGTGTCTACCAGGGAAAATTACCGCTAGTAATAGTCACAGCAGTACCCTTTTATGTTAAAAGGGTTATCATAATACATTTTCAGTTAAAGTAATACTAACCTCCTCAAAGCGAAGATGTACAGAAACATACTTGCCACCACTGTTTGCACTGCGCTCTTTCATTCTTGCAACCAAAGTTTCTCCAAGACTCAGTATTGGACTTGAAAACCGTAAAGCTTCATAATTTGCCAAGCATCTGAGTCTTTGGACAGTTGGGGGAGCCTCAAATGATAAGCGGTTTGCAAAAGGAGAAATCCTTATAATCCTGAGTCATTCAATCAGAAAGCAAGTAGCTTAAATTAAGACAACAATAAACAGTGTACTTTATTCACAGATAAGCACAACTAGAAGACTTAACAGTGAGGCAAATATGTCAGTCAATCTACACTACATGCATTAAAAGAAGAGATGTATTTTTTATCATACAGTGTTGTTATAAGCAATAATGTTTAGAATCACCATATGTCACTCAAGTAAACAAACTAAACTTAAAAAAAAACAATTATGCAACAATCAATGTTCAAACTCACTTTTCTTCAAGGAGCTTGGGTAGGACTACATCCTTATAATACTGGATGGATGACCATGCTTTAATTCTGAAGTTGTAAACATTGGTTAAATTGTGGTCAAATCGTTCCATTATGTACTCAGGAATCTTATTAACAACTCGTACATCATTCTTCAAGGCACTGATGAAATAATCTTCATCATAGATGTCTTTGAATTTGCTGGAAAAGTAAAAAACATATGCAGAATTCAGTCAATGTGATAACAAAATGGTTGGTACAACATGATATGAGATAACTTTTACAAGGAGTAATGCATAAAAGAAAGAAATTATGTGTAAAACTAACAAATGAGGTACATGAACAAGAAAATTGAAGATCAAAGCTATGTTTGGTTCAAGGAAAATTTCAAGAATAGCATTTTAACGATTTTTAGGCATTTGAGAAAATTGTTTAAAGTTTAAAAATATTTTTCATTTCATTTTTTCTCATTTAACACTTTCTCAATAAAATTTTTCCTCTTAGTTTCTAGCAAACAAAACTTAAAAAGTAATTTACTTGAAATGAAAAGATAATAATGGCAATCTGGCTTTAAATACAATTCTCCTATTCTTGAAGGAGAAAGCACAATCAGCATTTAGGATTAACATTTTGTATATCAAACAGAGTACAGTCCTCAGATTTAATTCAATTTCACACCTCAACCTAAAAGGATCATGCAAGCATAGAGCTAATTTCAGTAATATTTTAATCAACAAGGTTTCACAGCCTAACACTACCAATAGAGAAAATTTATACAGTAGAAAATCAAGATATCAGCACACAAATTAGAAGCACCTGCAATGCCTCTCCATAACAAGATCAGATCATAGGATATTTATCAGGTTAAGCTTCTCAATAAATAATAGTTTGTCAGAGAACTGATTAGCAAGAGTTTTGCCACTTCTCCTTGATGGTTCACAACCAACATAAAAACTGAAAATAGATGATCACAAACCTGGGATCTCGCCATATGCTATGGTAATGGAAATTAGGGATTAGAAGTGTTGCATTAAGATAGCCTGCCACAGCAACTGCATTGCATATCTATAAAGTATCCAAAACAACCATGCAGAGAAAATATAAATTAACACGATCATAAAATAGGCAAGCTTTTATAAAACGAAGGTAAAAAAATAAATACTTAATAGAAACTAATGAGGAATAAAACCAACCGATGTCCTCTGCTGATTTAAGCCTCCATTTGCCTCAACATATATGTAACCATTTGATTCAGGTAAGCCTATAGTAGTTAAAAGAACAGCCAAATTTAAACTAACGAAGATAGTCAACAACCAAAAACCATTCTAATACATATAAACATGAAGCATGCATGTACCCATAAACAAAGAGAACATGCATATACTTCAAATGGGCTATGCACCAGAAATGGCACATAAAACTCTAAATATGTGACATTTACACTAACATGTTGCTAAGGCGCCTGAGGTCCTCACACATACTAGGATTCTTGCAAAAATTTTAATGAATTGCTCTCTCACACAGTTGGACAGACACGTTTACTCTCCGTCCCTCCCCCCCCCCCCACTCTCTCTCTCTCTCTCTCTCTCTCTTCCTCAAAATAGCACTCTCAAATGCTGTTACTCAGACTCCACAGTTCAGGCAAAAGAAATCATATCAACCAAACATGATACAGTGTTGGTATGGGATAGTTTTTCACACACCTTTAACAGAAAGAAAGTTATCTTCTAATGCTATACAATCTCCTTGACACAATGGCAAGTGTTATTACAAAACTTCGTCAAATTGTAGACATGACAATAAAAGACATACTATTTAAACTGTCATTAACATAAGAACCCAATTGTCAATCCTGACACCCCCAAGATCAATGAATGACTTACCAGCCTGAAAACCTAGTCATAATGATTTCTCTGACCTTTTAAAACAATGATTCCTACATCTATACTAGAATTATACATGGCTTGAAAATTTATAATTTGTACAAATAAGGGAGGGCCAGGAAGCACTTCCTGCTCCTGCAAAGGATTTTAACTCCCTTCAGATGTAATTCTAAATCTTTCAAGTGTCCAACTCCAATTTCTTTGTAGCATTTAATATATACCATCTTACATGCCAAAGCCATTCACTTAGAAAATTACTACTCATCCAATTTTTTATAGTCAAATATTGATTCTGGCAACAGTTACCATCAATAACAAATAGAGTACATAAAAAATAAAAAAGAAGCAAATTTGTTCCCATTCACCAAAAGTAATGCCAACAATGAGACACATTAATATAGATATTACTAATAATATATTTATTGCTACTCAACTAGTTGTCAGCAAAATAAAAGAACCTAATTAATATCAACGAAGCTACAGAAACATTATCATGACCTCTTAAAATAAAACGAATAGAATAAACCATACCTTCAAAAGACTTGTTTACACAAGGCCTCCACTCCCCTTTTTTATAGGAATTTTTCCAAATAGTCCAAATCTACAACAAATTCAATCGGTTTAGGGCAGATATAATCACAAATAATAAATCAGCATTAGTTGTAAATCTCAACAATCAATTTAAAATGTACAAAACATTAACCACCCAACTATTGTAGTAAAGAATATCCATACAAATGACATGAAAAAAAAAATTAACATTATATAATCAGATTGCATTATAATTCATCTAGCTCTTAAGAATTACAATGAGAGAAGCTGGAAAAGACAAAAAAAAAAAAATTGCATTGCTGCTAGACACCTAATCATCTAACCCTATTATGAAATTATACCATGGCAACTGTTTACCATCCTAGGATGCAGGTACTAAAGTAATCGAGTTAGTCTTATTCCTATACTGTAAAAGACTACAATCAAATTATCAAGTTAGTTGTAGAGGAGCAAATCATCAATAAATCACCGGTATTGCACTGCCTTAAGATTTAATCATTCAAAGGAAGCTTCTGATTTCAATTCACTTGCACTAGAAATGGAACACAGTATAATTATCTTCATCACAATATCTAACAAAGAATAAAACAACTGGCTAGGCAATGTATCTTGCCATATTTTTCAGATCCAGATATGATAAGGAAAGATTCTTACAGCTGAAAATGAAGCATGTACGACAAGACACAAGCGTCCACATCCTCAGAAAACAACAGTTAAAATTAAAAAAAAAAAAAAAGAAGAAAAAGAATAATGCTAAAAATGATTCCTTGATTCAGCATTCAATTTTTCTGTTTTCTACAAATTGAGATAAAAATCAAAATCCTTACTTTATTTCTAAACTTTCAAGAATTTGTAGAATTATTCGAAAATACTTAAGTATAACTCAAATGAATAACATATCGTAAAAGCATCAGGAAAAATACAACTAATTACATTGTCCAAGTTCCTCAAAATTCTACCAAGATCCAAACCCAGAAAAAAAATTAAAAAAAAAAACTAAAATTTTGGAATGGTTCAACAAGCAAATCCAACCCGCAATCATGAAATCGAAGAATTTATCAAATTGACTAAAAAGGAACAAATCAAAAACCAGTGACTCACCGCATCAGCAGAGGAATTATCGCCATTCATATCAATTTTAAGTTTCTCATAAACCTGGGGACTCCGGTAAACGGAGCCGGCTGCGGGTCGGTGTTTAACAACGGGAACCACATCAAACGAAACGGTGCCCATGTAAAGAAGCATCCCAGAGATGTAAATGAGAGGAGCAAAGAGGAAAATCCCTTGTCTACGAAGAAGAACCGATAGAAGTAACCAAGCGAGACGATGGGCTATGGTCCGCCCCGGTTGGAACGGGCTGAACCGACCCGACTTCCTTCCGTGGCGGTACCTCGGTGACCGTAGTGGTGATGCCGGCGGTGATGGGGTGCTGTGGCCGCTACTAGGAATCCTATTTTTCGCGAGCATTTGAAAAATAAAAAAAGAAATTTGTTCCTTTGGGTTTTTTTAAAATTTTATTTTTAGTTTTTTTCTGGCTACGTCATGGGAGAAGATGAAAGCTTTGGATTTTTTTTCTCTTTTCTCTCCTGTGCGGGGGGAGAGAGAAGAGGCGAGAAAATAAGAGAGAGAGAAGAAACTTTTCTTTTTTTTTTTATTGCAGCGATTGAAACAGAGGCAGAGAAAGAAGATAGCACGTGCACGTGCTGTTTGGGAGGAAGAACTAGGAGACAAGAGGAAAGACAGATGTCGAATACGAGGTGTGTTTGGATGGTGGGAAAAGTAAGTTTTTTTTTTTTTTGTTCAAACTTAGAATCACATGCATGCATCTTTTCTAATTTCACACTTAAATTTTTTTCCTTAATTTCGTGTTCATTGTCCTTACTTGGAAGCATCATCTTTGACGTTTTGAATTAAGTTGGCCCTTTTGGTGAATGTAGTGATTCACAAGATTCATGCACCCAAAAATTTCTAATTTATATTACTATAAGAGGAAATTTAGTATTATTACAAGATGTTAAGGTAAATTTGGTATAAAATAATTTTGATATTGTTGTTTCCTTACATGGACAATTGGACTTTATACTTTCTTTCTATTCATATTTATCTATAAACTCAATGATATTTAGTTCACGTGTCCAATATTTGAATTCCAGTATAATAATAATTTTTTTTAAAAATAAAAATTTAATGTTTCATAATTTTATTTCATATAATATTTTTAAAATGTAAATCTATCACATTTATAATTCAAATTTTAATATCAATAAAGCCTTGATTTAATGAAAATGAAAAGGTCTTGATTTTATATTGAATTTATTTATTTATATTTTAATTTATTAATTGATTGATTTAATTATTTAATGATTTGGTATATATAAATATAATATTTAATTATAATTATACTTATAATTTTATGAATTTAAATTGCAATATTTACATCTCTGTTATCTGTCCAAATTGTAATTCTTTTATAAAAAAAAAAAAAAAGATTGTAACTGAATCATTTTTGTAGATAAGATAATGAAAGAGGCAAAAGCCAAAACAATTTGTGAAGGAGGCCGCGCTTGCTTGTAGATTAGTCATTCTCTTGGCGCTCCATATTGCCATGGAAAATGTAGGGGTGGGGCCACGTGCGCTGACGAGAGAGAATAGGCCCGCCGTGGCGATTGCGTGCCCTGGACTGGGGGCGTGTTTGGCGACGCGATTGAGTTGGGTCTAACAGTATTCTGATTTGATATGTTGTCCGGCTACTTCCTCTTCCTCTACACTGCCTTTGAGACATCTTCCAGTCGTTGCGATGCAAATTGTATTCGCAGGTTATACGTAAAGTATCTAATTACAATTTTCTTTCGTACATGATATATGAACAAAAAGATTGAAGAATCACATGTTTATTGAGTACTCATCTTTTCAAGAGTCATAGGCCACACTTGCATCTTGCCAAAAGCTGTTCTTACTCATAATTTCATGTGGTGTCCTCCAATTGGCACTCTTAGGCAATCATGCACCAATGAAATCATGTCCAGATTTTAATTCATTTTGTAAACCATATGTTTAGTGATTATAATTGAGTGGAGGTGGAGCACCCAACTCCCATGGCGACAGCTAAACTGAAAGGAAGCAACGCCCTTTTCTAATCTAATAATTTAAAAATATTGTTTTGAGATTCGGATTTCAGTGTTTGTTGCTCTAAGTCTGAACATATCACTCATATTATTTTGTGTACAAGATGATATGAATAAATAGAAATAATAATTATCATCCAATCCTCAACAAGGACTACAAATAAAAAAAACCAAGAAACTTCACTCATTTGATATATCCTGAGTGAAACTTGATCTGAAAAATCTCCATAACCAAACAAAACCAAGGAATTTAGATTCTAATCCTTTTTTTTTTGGCAAACTATAATCAGTTTGATTTGAAATGTGTAGGCATTTGTATCTTTGCCATTGCACCGTTCATTTGAAGAATTATAGTCATAAGAGCAATTAGAATGGGCAGGATTGTGGCACAAATCACCCCCAATTCCATCCAATTATCTGCTGGAATGAAATTGAGGGCAATTTCACACCCACCCTTTCCCCAGCGCAGAAAAATTTACACAAAAAGAATGATAATAATAATGTTTAATAGTTAAATCGGTTCCTTTCTCAACATCAAAATCAAGTAAACATCCGAAAGAAAGAAAGCAGATGACAACAAAGTCCTTATCAGTTCCATTAGCAAATTTCAATTGCATAATAATTCCAGTTCCAATGATTAATCAATTCCATCCAACTTAATTAAAACACCCAAACACAACCTTAACCCTCAGTCATTTGGGGTTTGGAAACAATCACTCATGGAGAGTGCCCAAAATGTCCTCATCTCTATACAAGTGAAACCTGCAAAGAAAAAACAAAATCCACCAAGAAACCCAAAAAAGAAACAGTTTAACTTATCAAACCAAGTAAAAAATAAAATAAAAACAAAACAAAACAAAACGTAATGAACATACTCTTTCTCGCCAAGCTTGACTTGGGTACCACCAAACTCAGGCAAAAGGACAGTGTCACCTTCTTTAAAAGGAATTGGGATCGTTTTCCCTTGCTTGTCTATTGCTCCTGGGCCAACGGCCACCACTATCCCTGAACTAAACTGTTTTTTTTTTTTTTAAATCGAATCAATCAGAACCATTTAATTACAAAAAATGGCAAAAAAAGAGAAAAAAAATTACCTTGGTGGATTTCTCAGGGAGGAGAATGCCAGCGTTGGTTTTGGAAGGAGGAAGGATTTTCTCAACAAGAACTCTGTTAAGGGTTGGAATCAAACGCTTAGCCATTTGAGGGTTAATTTGAGCGTACTCCAAAAATCTTAGGGTTTTCCTCTGATGCAAGAGAAATGAGGATAGGATTGATTGTATTATTAAAGGAGAAACAAAATGATGATGGATGGTTTATTGGCCTGGGGGTTAAAGATCTGGAGGATGATAGAACCTTCTAGGCGTTAGGGTTGTAGGGAGTTTTTTCTGGGTTTTAGGGTTTAAGAAAACGAGGTGAACGGATCAGTCGTATTTTTTACATATCGGATCCGGAGGAGTTGGGCTAGCCCAATCTCATAACCCATTTTAAAGAACTATAAAGCCCAAGTTTACAGTTAGAAGAGTGGACTCAAGGGTTTTTTTTTTTTAGGTCCACTTGAAAACCAACCTTTTAAGTTTTATTAGGCTTTGATATCAAAGCCCATAATCAGGTCCACACAAAGAACTACAAAAGTAAAAAATATATAAATACTGAATTCGAGAATTAATTTTATTGATTTATATACATATGAATATGAATATCGTTAAGAAATAATAATATTTAATAAATTTAAAATTTAAATCTTAATATTTGCAATTTGTTTTTCTATTCTTAGATTGTGGGTTTTTTTTCACAATATATATATATATATGAATACTCAACAATTAGTTAACTTAATTGATAAACTTCTTTCTATAGAAAATTTTACTAGAAATTTTAATTTGAGTTGCCATAAAAAATAGATAAACAGGTGTTTGCTTTTCCAGATATGATACAAGCTAAAGATAGCATATCTATGCACCATAAACTTCAAAGGCTTCAAAATCTAAACATTGCCACATGTCTTTTGGTTCTCTTGGTCAATGCCTTCCCATGTGGATTCTGGAACAATTTGTCTATCACTTCCATTAAAAATATTTTTATACCAATTTTTATGATGCTTCAATCCAAGACTATAATTTATTATTATAATATATATATATATATATATATATATAGATACACACACATATAAGATAAGAGAAAGTAAGGAGACACTAAAGATGAGCATCTAAATCATGAATTAGAGGTACATCCCATAACTCTCTCACATCATCAGGGCTGCTATATTCATTATGCTGTGGCAAAAAAATATTTTTCTTCTGATTTTTTATTATAAAAAAAAAATAGAATTCCTCGTTGTCCCAGGTTTATGGGCACTTGACCTGTTTTATAAGTGCATTTTGATTTTTCCTTTTTCTCTAATTACCTCCAAAAAAATCCAATGCACGTAGACTATATAAATGAAGTGGACAGGCACTGAAAGATTCACCATAACCAGAGTGGCATTATCAACGCAGTTATCTTTGATATAATTAAAGAGAAAATTCCAGACCATGTATCATGGCACCGACTTGTTGCAACTCAAGCAAAGCCATGTTGAACTTGATCTCTCCCATCAGTCGTTTCTTTTTATACTTTTTCAAGTATGGTTGACAACTTGACATTGGCTAGGGCTACATGTTCGTGTCAATATTCCATCACGAGCACCAGCTTTGCCTTCGCCATCCAATTTGCAGATGGGTTATTGCCTCTGTGGTTCAAAATGTTTCCAAGAAAAATAAAACTGCTCATGCATTTCCTTCAGGATCATCACAAGAATTTTTTGCAGTACCCTGTTATAGCGTTATCATGAAAGATAAAAATGGGGATGGCACCTACTTTTTGTCACGTTAACTTTTGCTTTACAAAATTCTCTTTCAAGAATAGTCCTTCAGGGTGAAAGTTATATCCAGGACCCATATCATTTCTTTGAAAAGAAAACAGGGAGAACCATAAATCATGCAGCAAAGTAACCAGTCAGGTTTATGGGGTTGCAAGCAATTCAAGCCAGAAGTTTGCTGAAAGTGGCTGTATGTTCAAATAGAACACATCACTGTCTCATCTCATTCGCATGGATGACAAACATGTATTTATAGTATCAAACACCTTAATGATAAAATCAACAGTTTGATACCAGCATTGATTAATCCTAATGAAACCTAAGTATGGTACTGGTAGTTTTCAAGGACGAGTTACCTTTCCTTGTCCAACAAATAGGGCATTTCATAAGGCAATCTTTGAGGGCTTTTTTTGATAGGAAATCTTGATGTCCCGAATGGAAAGTGGCTGTAGTGCTTCTTTGGTTCATGATGAGTAATGTAGTGTGGGTCCATTTTAAGATACCAAGGATCTCTTTAAGGCGTTCTGGTCCTGTTTCATCTTTCAAGTATTCACCTTGGATTGAGCATCAATACTGCGCTTTTTCAACCGATTGCCTGAATTCTATTGCCCTTTCGGCTGCTTCTAACCCATTATCATTACCAGTTTCACTTGCTGAGAAAATGCCGTCTCCAAGTGGGCGTGCCGGAGTGGTTATCGGGCATGACTAGAAATCATGTGGGCTCTGCCCGCGCAGGTTCGAATCCTGCCGCTCACGTAATTTACTATTTTTAAAGATCAAGCTTAACACAAAACCCTTTTTTAAACCTTTTTAGTTAAATGGAAATCCTTTTGTTTGTCCCCGTTTTTACCAACTGTACTCGGAAGATGAGCCCTATCAAAAACGATTTTTTTTTTTCCTCTTTGACTGATGAAGACCTTTATTTGATTTGATTTAGGGATGTAGATTACCGCATAACTTTGGGGTGAATTAGATCAAAACGTTGAAGTGCAGATGTTATAGACATTGTGCCAGTCATAATTTATAATTAAAACAATGCAATGATGCATACGATTTATGTCAAATTTTCACTGGAGATAAAATTTTTTGTCTCACTCAACGTAATTGCTTTATTTTATTTTTTTTCAATTCTCTCTTTCAAGTTAACAACTTCAATACTTTATATTTATTATTTATTTATTTATTTTTATTTTTATTTAAATATTATAGTAATTTTATTAACTTTATATAAAATAAATTTTATTATATAATAAGTTAATAAATAAATTGTATTATTATATAACAAACTAATAAATAAATTTTAATTATTTATTAACAAATTTATTATTTAATTTACAAAATTTTAATATTGATCAATTATTTATTAATTTTATAAATATTAAATAATTTAAATTTTTCATTACATATAACTTTTAGTTAATGTCATCTTTTTGTTTTTGTTTATACTTTATCTCATCTCATCCGTTATATGTATATCCAAACATATATCTTATCATTAATTTTAATTTTATCATAATAATAATTAATTTCAATATCTCACTTTTACTGCTATTTTTAATTTTATTGAAATCAAATCATTTTTATCATTATTTTCAATTTTATTAAAACCAATTGCTTCGTCTTTCCTTTCCTTGAATGCCAAACACTGCAGAAAGAAGCGAACCTAAAGTTGAACTCTACCTGGGTATCTCCTTGATAGTAGTAGTTTACAACATCATCAAAATTTCTGTCAACTTGATTGATTATGATTTATGCAGCGTTAGATGCCATGCCAGACGGAAAGTCCTTTGAGAATTTGGGGATGAGGATTGAATCACATTCTCCTCAAATTTTCAATGTTTTAAATATAATTTTAAAGAATTTCCTTTAATAACATGATGGAGCGAGATATGAGTAAAGATTCTAAATTTAAATGGGACTGCTTCATTTAGTTCAAAAATACAAAAAAAAAAAAAAAAACTTTAAATTTCCTATTTCGATTCACTTGTTCTAACCAGTTGCTAGCAGCAACTAGCTTTCTTCACGTGAGAAACTGTAACCTTGTGAGTTGGAACCAAGTTTGTCATATTGGGCTGATCAAATTTCCTAGCCTCAATCATACACAAAACAACAAAAAGCAACGGATTTCAAATCAAAATTCAGCCATTGCTTTACAAGATTAAAGGGCGGTGGACGAATAAAAAAAAGTTTGATGCCTTTAAGCGTGTAAAGAAGATAAGAACATCAAAAAATTATAATTCCATCTCCTTTTTCTTTCTCTTTTTCTTCTTTATTTGACTTTATTACTTTATGTCTTTACGTCAAAACATTCCTTTTTCCTTGTCAAATGATTACTAACCTTTCTCGTACCCATCTCTTTCTCTATAAATACTCCATCATTCATAAATTTCAACTATAAAGGAAAGGGAGAAATTACCCCATTTTTATTTTAGGGAATGTTGATGAAATTTTCATGAGGGAATCAAAATAGAAAAGGAATATGGCTTTAAAATTTTATAAAACCAAAAAAAAATATATATATATATAAGAGATAAAAAATAAAAAAAAATTCATATCATATTTTTTTTAATATCAACTGACACATGTAAATCAAGTGTCATATACATAACAATAAGAATGATTTACCTAATTAAAAATGACAAACATGCACCTACTTGTAATTATATAAATTAGACCATAAATAATGGCTATTATTAGGGTTTTGAAAAAGATAAAAGTACTTTGGGACCTGTTAGTCACAATATTTTTATTACATTCATTAGTGGCATTTATGTAGGGTTAGATGGTAATGATTTATGAATGGAATGGCGTTTGTGAACAAAGTCTATCCTATGTCTATTGAATAAGAGAGTTTCACGTAGCTGTTTATTATGTTAGCTTTTTATCTAGATTTTCAATTAAAATTCATATAGTATATGTTGCCAAAATACAATAGAAAGAGCTCTTTCTGTTGTATAGGACCTGTTTTGATTAATCAGCCTTTGCACAATTTTGAATAAGCACTCTCTAAAAGGTTTTTCCTTTTTCTTTTTTTCCAGTAATCTTTCATGTTTTCCAATTTATAAATACTAAGATTTGTTTGATATATACTTTGTTTTTTTGAAAAAGATATTGGCACGCCTCTTTGTGTAACTAATTAGCTCAAATTGAGTCGTCAGCTGAAAAATGTTAGTTGCCTCATCATTTCTGCTCGAACTATTTGCTTAATTTACTTGATATGATTAAGGAGAAATTTTATATTAAATTTTTAAGTGAAGTTTGTAAAAATTTTTTTAAAAAATGATATAATAAAAAATTTAAAATCAGATAAATTGATAGAGTTCAATATGAAAATCAATAATATATAAAAAAATTATAAAAAATATTGTTTATAATTTAAATTTGATTGATACTTATACAACAGTAAAAATTTTATCCATATTTTTATTAAAAATATATATTAAAATTTACACACTCAATTTATGTAATAAAACATTTTAATCTGTCGATTTTTATTTTTAATTTTAATTTTTATTTAATCATTTTTAGTTGAAAATTTTACGAACTTCACCTAAAAATTTCTAAGTCTTCCATGCCATTAAAGTGTCAACCAAATTCTCATACTTCACCCATGAATTTATTGTCCCATATCTATTGTCATATTAAACATTACAATATATATATATTAGGGTAAAAAAAAGTTATACTGCAAATTAAGGCATTACTATTTGCATCTCTCCTTATTTCCATCATATATATGTTAGTTTTCTTTTTTTTTTTACAAAATCTGCTTTAACCTTTTTCTTTGTTTTTACAAATGAGATTGCAGCTTGAAAATAAATATTTGCAAACACCTTCATACTACACATGGTTCTATACGTAATTTATCCATGAAAATTTGTTTTACTTTTAATTTGAAGGAGAGAGATTGCACTCTCTCTCTGCCACAACTTATTGCATGTAGATTCATGTGCATATTTTTGCACAAGGAGCAGAAAATAAAAAAGTAAGTGGGCCAACCATTCAACAACAATGACGTACTAATAAGGTTCACCTCTGTTTCTGTTGATCAGGCATTGTTGTTCTCTACTAGATAAGTACTAGTTTGTTTGTTAGCGATCACTGGTGAAGTTGCTTTGATGGGTAGAGACAAGCATAAATTAGAGCATTGCTCCAGCAAAACAAGCTACACCAATACAATTTTTGTTATACTACCATGGAGCCTAATACTAGCAACATGCAGCAGCAGCAACCTTCAACCTGCCTGGAAATAACCATGGAGGTTCACAGAGTTGTCCCACCACCCCATAAGAGCACCATTCAGAAGCTTAAAACCAGGCTCAAAGAAACTTTCTTCCCTGATGATCCTTTGCGCCAATTCAAAGGACAACCAACGAGGAAGAAATGGATTCTTGCAGCTCAATACATTTTTCCTATTCTCCAATGGGGTCCTAATTATAGTCTCAAACTCTTCAAATCGGATATTGTTTCAGGACTTACCATTGCCAGCTTAGCTATCCCACAGGTTACTCCAAAAGAATCTTGCTTCTCGTTTCCTCTTTATCTACTAGTCCATTAATGTTTGTCCATTTATTTGACGTCTCAATTTCTTACATCAGGGTATCAGTTATGCTAAGCTTGCTGGTCTACCGCCAATTGTTGGTCTTTGTGAGTAATTCTGCTCTTTCATTGAAGCTTGTTAGCAACATTAAGATTACTATTTGATTGAATTTTCATTTGGTAAAGCTTGTTTATTCCTTGTTGGTCTAGATTCCAGCTTTGTGCCTCCTCTTGTATATGCTGTACTTGGCAGCTCCAGGGACCTTGCAGTAGGACCTGTTTCCATAGCTTCACTTATACTTGGATCTATGCTCAGACAAGAAGTATCCCCTATCAATGATCCTGTCTTGTTTCTGCAACTAGCCTTTACTACAACTTTCTTTGCTGGTTTTTTCCAAGCTTCTTTGGGATTTTTAAGGTGAACTTGTCTTTTCATTCTAAAAATGCATCTTTTTTATTTCTTTAATTAACCTTTCGGATGATTTCTGGTGTTAACGTGAACAGGCTTGGATTCATCATTGATTTTCTCTCAAAGGCAACACTTATCGGGTTCATGGCAGGGGCTGCTATCATAGTTTCTTTGCAGCAGCTGAAAAGCCTTCTTGGAATCACTCATTTTACTAAACAGATGGGTTTGGTACCTGTTTTGAGCTCTGTTTTCCACAATATAAAGGAGGTACTGATTTTACTCTGCAGCCTGCACCAGTCTTCTCATGTAAATGTAACTTTAATGGAAACTGCCTGCAGGCAGCTGCTGCTTGCCATAATGTTTGTTTCATTAATTGGTAAAATATCATATTTCTTTTCTCTTAGCAGTTAGCAGCCAAACTTATTTCAATTTTCAAGATTCATTCATGATTCGTGCGCAGAATTCTTTTGTGAATTATATTTGTTCTTGTCGTAAATTTATGGTGTTTTTTTGCTTCTGCGCAGTGGTCATGGCAAACAATACTGATGGGCTTCTGTTTCCTCGTGTTTCTGCTAATGGCAAGACATGTTGTACGTCATATTATTAATCTCTTTGTCTTCTAGTCCCAATTGGAATCTGGTGTTTTATCTCTCGAAAGGACGCTCTTAACCGCCTAAGAATCGAACCTGTCACTGACTTAAGACTACACACATTAATTGCTTAGTGTTTGTTGTTGACCGTTTCAATCATCTAAATTCACTGTTATCTCACATCTGGCCCCCGAGCTACACTTCACCAATCAGAAAGGCTAAAGTTGATGATTTGACTCTTTCTGGGTCTGCATGGATAACACTTGTCATGTATTACCATGCTCTGGGTGGCCATAGTTTTTTTCTAAATGATTATATTACTTTTTATATATATATTTTTATTTCTTTTATGTGACACCCTGCCAATCCTAGAAGCGAATATTAAATATAGCTTTTATATAGTCCTTTGCCTTAGTCCGTATGAATTTGGTTCATTTTCCATTTTCTGGTCTGCAACAAGATTAAGTAGGTGACTTTTACTCAAAAGAGCTTTGGTTTCTTAATTTGAGACCCAGGCTTGATATATGATAATTATGCAATCATAGGAATCAATCCTTGATAGCATGCAGATTTGACTTAATTAGGAGGCCACATCAGGTGATTGGTCCCTCATGAAAGGCCAATAGAATTCTGTCTGACATTTTGAATATGCATTGACTGTCAAATTTTGGGGTGCGTGCCATGCAGAGCATGAGAAGACCAAAGCTGTTTTGGGTCTCAGCTGGAGCTCCTCTTGTTTCTGTGATCATCTCTACCCTTCTGGTTTTTGCATTCAAAGCTCAGCATCACGGCATCGGTATAGTAAGTTTCCTGGTTCCCTTAGTAACTCCTACATATTGCTCCCCTTCTTTTCTTACAGTTTATTGGTGTGTCTACTTATTAGATTGGCAAATTGCAAGAAGGATTAAATCCTCCTTCATGGAATATGCTGCAATTTCATGGAAGCCACCTCGGGCTGTCAATAAAAACTGGCCTTGTTACTGGAATTATTTCCCTCACTGTAAGTTTTTTAAATCCTTTTTTATCTGAATCTTTCCAGTAATTAACTAGAGACCTCATTAAAATGTAAAAACAAATGAAGGTGAAAATGGAGGAGTTCTTATAATTTCCGATGCTATCTTTGTATCAAACAATATCAGTTAATGTAATGAAAACAGATTAACAATGGTTCCAAACCCTCTAATCAAAATGGTATGCATTTTTTTTTTTTTTTTGCATAAAACAAGACACTAGAATGCCTGATATTATTCCTAAAAGGAAAGAAAATTTCATTGCAACTATTTCGGGAAGAACACAAATCTATTTGGCCATCGCTTTAATTCAACCGGTATCAAACAGGAAGGGATTGCAGTAGGAAGGACTTTTGCTGCTCTTAAGGATTACAAAGTGGATGGTAACAAGGAGATGATGGCGATTGGGCTGATGAACATGGTTGGCTCCTCCACTTCCTGCTATGTCACAACAGGTAGACATCTACTCCAGAAGGCAATTAATCTAACAATAAGTTTCCTTCTAAGCGGCTATTAACTACGTAATTTTTTGATATCAGGTGCCTTTTCTCGATCAGCTGTTAATCACAATGCAGGAGCAAAAACTGCAGTGTCTAACATAGTGATGTCAATTACGGTTATGGTCACCCTTCTTTTCCTCATGCCTTTATTCCAGTACACACCAAATGTTGTGTTGGGTGCTATCATTGTGTCAGCAGTTGTTGGCCTTATAGACATCCCAGCAGCCTATCAAATTTGGAAAATTGACAAATTTGATTTCATTGTGACGTTGTGTGCATTCTTTGGTGTTATTTTTATCTCTGTCCAACATGGTCTTGCCATTGCAGTAAGTTCTCTTCTCTCACCTTCAGAAAACATGCAATTCCAGTCAAGCCTGAATCAATTTCTTTAGTTGTGATTAAGCTAAAGTTCTGAGAGTATTTATGGCCAGGTTGGCATATCTATTTTCAAGATCCTCCTGCAAATTACCAGGCCAAAAACAGTGATGCTGGGGAACATACCTGGAACAGATATTTACCGCGATCTTCACCATTACAAGGAATCCATGAAGATCCCTGGTTTCCTTATTCTAAGCGTCGAAGCCCCAATCAACTTTGCCAATTCGACATATCTGAATGAGAGGTTGGTTATCACTTTGCAGACTTTGTTAGTATTGTTAAAGTGATGTTATCTCTATTGTCAAGCGGTTATATAGTAGATACTTAACAATGTATTAGAGCGTTCTGTCATGTTCTTGCATGTTTCCTGCATGTTACTCATTCCAAATTTTAAGTTTGTCATGTAATAAGCTTCTATCTCATCTACACAAATATCTTAAGTTGGATGGGACGTTTAACAATTAGATCATGTCTTACCTCTCTTCGATTATTTATTCTGTTATATCTTTCTCCATTATTGGGCCTATGGTGCAAAGGATGTTGAGATGGATTGAAGAATATGAAGCACAGGAAGACCTCAAGAAGCCGTCTAGCCTTAGATTTGTGATTTTAGAGATGTCGGGTAAGTCTATCTCAACCATGGGATTTTAGCAATGCTGCTGCTCATGATGGCTTGTTTTCAACAAGCTCCATAACGAAGATGCTTTCTATCCATTTTTTCTCAGCTGTAAGCGCCATAGACACGAGTGGCATAGCACTCTTTAACGAACTGAAGAGAGCAATCGAAAAGAAAGGCGCTGAGGTAAGTTTCCAATCTGCAAAAACAATTTAATCACTAGTGCTTAAGTTGCATGCATGTCTTCTATATTCAAAATTCTACACTTTGACATCACAGCTTGTGTTGGTGAATCCTCTGGGTGAGGTGATGGAAAAATTGCAAAAATCAGATGAAGCTGGTGATTTCATGAGACCAGACTGCTTGTTCTTGACAGTAGGGGAGGCTGTTACTATGCTTTCAGCAACAATAAAAGGTCAATCATCCAATCATGTAGTATGAAAAAATAAAGCAAGACACAGAGCTATCTTTTGACCTTTGTACAGTGAGAATATCAAAGTATTTCTTAATATTAAAAATCAAGCCATTCTGATTTTCCATTCTCCTTGTTGACTATCTTCCTCTGCTCCCCCGCCTGTATCACTGATTTGTGTACTTGCAAAGGCCATGAAATGACAAATATCATTAAACTTCATATGACTACAAATTCAGTTGTTGGAGGTGCTTTTACCTTGAGTTGTAGAGCATGCTTTCTTGCCTTATCTCTTTCTTTGATTGATTCACACTCCCATATTTGCCCAATCCAACTTGGATGGCAACAATTAATAGTAATCTTCTCAATCATTTTTCCATGCTCAAGAACATATGTAACAAAGTCTACATCAATTTTAAAACCTCTAAAGCCTACCACCTCCACCACTTTAAGACTTGGGATGGGTTTTCCAGTAACATTACAAGAACTATTTGCATGATTGTATGTAGAAGATCTCCAAATTTTTAACTGCAAAATTTTAAAGACGACATAATAAGACAGACATAATAAGACAACGATAAAGGAAAGAGAGGGGTAAGAAGTAGTGACAAAAATTTAAAAGATAAGTGATAAAACTACAAGAGAAAAATATGAGATCCAGAATTTTCACCAGATTTAATGGAAAATGAAAACCAAATGGTCAAAGGGCAGATAAAGGAACAAATGATGTGATAGTAAATTAACATGGGCCACCTTCTTATATGAGACTGTGCTTTGTGTGCAAAGGCTGATGAAAAATTCAGCCATCCATATTGTCAATAATGTATATGAAGAAAAGGGCAACATTCTTAATCAAGACGAACACGGACAACATTACCTCCAATGAGAGTTTGTTCAAGGAAGGAGATGCATCAATCAAAGAAGTCAAGACAAGAAGATTGTCATCATATCCACCATACACACTTACTACTAAGTGCCTAAGATTTGCCAATTGAGGGAAATTTGGAAATGTCATATTGTACTGCAAAAGAAATTTATAATGAGAAATCCAATAGCAAAATAAAATTGAAATCCAAGAACATAAAAAAAGATAGCAAAAACTTACAGCACTCATCTCCAATGTTAGGGTATGTAGCTGACAAAGATAGCTCGAGAGAGGGCAAAAGGCAAAACCTGGTTGATCATCTAAGTTCCCACCTATAAGCACATTGGCCAGGAGGGGAGCATTTTCAATGTGTAATGCCACCTTTTGTCCATAATACCTAAAGGACCATAAATTGGGTGTAGAAATCTCAAGATTTTTCAACGCAAGGCAAGACCGTATTTCCAAGTATCTCAACCGCAAAGGTGATGAACTAGCAACTTTAGCAACTTTAAGAGACACTAAATTTTTTGACCACTCCACAACTAACTTTTCAAGAAGAGGACTATGAGAAAGGAAGTGCTCGAGAACCTCACCACTTACCTTTACAAATCTCAAACATAAAGAAGTCAACAACCCAATGCAGGATAAACCATGAGGAGTTCTAATGTAGTCGTAACAACCTTTAGTTAACGAATAGGATCTTAAACCTGGTGGCCAAGTTTTCTCTGCCACTTCTTCAAAGTCCAACTCAAGATTTCGAACTCTCTTCGATATTGCAAAATGAAACCAACTATCAATATCATGCCTACAAGTCCAATCCAAGTCGAAACAAACTCTAAATTCATTTAAAGTAGAACCTTTGTACAACTCCAGGATGTGGTTCACCCAGCCTATGTACCAAGACCTCTTCTTTTTCCTCAAACTGCCATTCCTCTGAAGCTCGCATAATGCATCTGAAGCATCAAAATTCAAAGTAACAATGTTTGGCCACAAACTTTTCAACCTCTTGGAAAGAAAACATATGCTTGCTACCTCCTTAAGGGTCAAAAAGGAAAGAATTGTAAATAGAATTTCATCTGGCAACTCACTAATCCGATCCCTAGAACGCTCTTCTCCTTGATCATCCTCCATTTAATAACTTCAAAAAACACAAAATCATCAATATACAAATTGCCAAAAGTATAAAAAATGAAGATCAGGCATCATTAAGATCACAAAATAACAACTTAAAGGCTTTTAAATAGAAAAAAAAAGAGTGAATTTTTTGGATAATTAAAGTTTCTTTCCTTTTTTTTTTCTTTTAAATAATCAAAGAAAAGAAATTAACTTTGAATGAATTTCTAACAACAATAATCAAAAGGAATCAAACAACCCAGATTTGACCTACCGGTGTTTATCAAAGAGGGTTGAGATATAAGTATGTACCTAAAAAATGAAATCATGAAATTAAATTCGAAACTCTGAAATTTTTGTAGAATTCGAAAAAAAAACAAACTTGGGATTTATAAAAGAATTACAAAAAAAAAATTTATGGACGAGATTTAATGATAAGGAGGACAAAATTTTAATCCTATGAGCTATGGCATCCAAAATCTGTAACAAAATTAACAAAAAAATCAACTTTTTTGAAGATAAAGTGCAAATTTTCATAATTAAAACTCCATGGCATAAGCAACAGCGAAAAAAAAAAAAAAGGAAGGAAAACAGATAATGGAAATTATGGGATTTTACCTAAAATAAAAAGAAAGATACCTTTAATTGATTTGAGTTGTGGCTTCTTTCGGCGGAAAAAAAAAACCGATTATTATAGAATGAAAGTAATAATTAGAAGTGGTGTTTGGCCAAAAATAAAAAATTAGAAATGTGAAAAGCATGAATTTCAGGCATGAGAGAATTTGGATGGTGAGTGATGAGAAGGCAGTTATAAAGAACACCATGTTTGGCCTAAGGACAGCAAATGCAGAACTACAAAAGTGGAAATGTCAAATGTGTGTTTAATTGTACCATACACGACCTTCCCTTTACTTAATTTTAGACTAAAAACATAAAAAATATATAAAAAAATTAAATTAATAATATATTAATTAATAAAATTAAAATATACATATTTAATAAAAAATTAATATAAAAATTATCAAATCATGTAAATTATTATTTTGTCCGTTTATATATCTTTATTTTTTATTTAATAATTTATTTACGTAATTTTATTCTTTGTTCAAAATTCTATTTTGTAATGCAGATTTGAGATTTTTTGAGGTAAAAAATTACGAACTATTGATAAATAAGCCTAAAGCCTCCTTACTGCTTAAGCTGGGGCACAAACTTCAGAATCATAGCAAACATCTCCTCCGATCTCCGACAATACGGCGTGCCGTTTTACGGAGCCGGTTGGGTTCCTTACAACCACGTCAGATCCAAGCTCACCTCACAAGAAAAAATTGAAGAGGATAATAAAGAAGACAAAGATCCAACTCAATCCAAAGATGACGAGATTAGTACCTCTCTAAACTATGTCGTTCTAGCTGGCGGTGGCGGTGAAGGCCGTAGCGGTATCCCCAATGCAGTCGTCGTCTCCCACGTCGATTTTGCCTCTAATTCTCTCTCTCATCAACCCGTAAGTAGATTTAAAGAATTTCAATTTCAAATTATGTTAGATCTTACGTTGACGAGTCTAAAATTATGAAATCTAGATCCTTTAGGTCAGCGGTTTTAAATTAAGGAATTTCCTTAATTATTGTAATTACTGTAGACAAGCTCTTCTATTTTTTTTTAATGGAATACACTATGGTAATTTATTTGTTTTTAATTGTTTTTAATGTGTTTTCTATTAAGGTGGTTATGCTTCGAACTGGTTCTGATTTGCCTTATCGAATGACTGTTCATCCGCGTGGAGATGGCATTATCTGTGCATTGCAACAAAGTTGCAGGTTTTTTCTTTTGCGTGTTTAACCAATGATTCTGTCTATTGAAAAGAAATGCTATTCTTCCTTGATTTTTTTTGCTATATCATCTCAAGGCCATTGATGCTACAAGCTTTTTTTTTTTTTTTTTTTTTGTTGAAAATGTGGAGTTTGGAAGAAGAGAATGAGAATTTTCTTGCTCTAATCAACAGAAGGAAATGCCTGATACATTTTGATCCTTACAATTTGCCCTAAAAAGTAGTTTCAAATCAGTTTCTTCATTATATTTTTTACCATTATATTATATAAAGAATGAGCAACTCCTTAACTCTTTTTCTATGACTTTCTAATGTTATTATATTTAAAACTCTGGTGGTTGGTTATTTGACATATAATTATCAACTGTGAAAATGATGACAATTCTGAGAGGGAATGGAATCACTTGTTCATTTAAGAGGACTAGAGGGAGAGTGCGAGCAATAATTCAGAAAGGAGCTAAATTAACTAGCAGTTTTTATGTGAGATAGTGGGAGTGCATCACTTGATGGTGGAGCAAGACTTCAACAAATGCAGATGAGGGCTCTACTAAATGGTTATCCTCGAGATTACTGTATGTTACCTTGTGGGACCATTAGGATTATTATTGTTTAGTTCCATTTATTTGTTATTAGGTAGTGGATACTCACGTAACTTTACTTTCTTTTCTCTGCTTGTGACAATCTCTTTACAGATGGCAAAGTTGCTTCACCAGGTATGATAATCCTTACCTGATAAATAATAAATGAGTGGAAATAAATGATAATAATCTTAATTGTCCAACAAGTTAACCCACATTAATCTCAAAGATAAACATTCATTGGAGCCATCATCTGTACGTGTGCAAGCCATACGCTCCCATCAACTCACAACATGCTGGTTTTATATGGCTACATGTAAGCCAACTGCTCTTGAGTTTTCCCAGATACATGCAGCTGGAACCATAGCATATTTCTACAGTGTTGGTAATCAGGATGAACTGGGTTTCTCTTTCAGAGCCCTGGAGATATTCTATCTTTCATCTCGGAATTGATTTTAGACTTCCATTAATCTCCAATCTTTTTTAATTGTATTATATATGAAAATGGAGGGAACCTAAACTAGCCAGTATGCTCTGTTCTATGTGTACCCATACCCTATAAGGGTATGCATTAATATTTGACCTGCCTCGGAGGTAATATTATTGCTTTGGCTTTAGCATGTACTCTAGACACTGAAAGGGAAGAGCAATAGCATAAAAGTGGGACCGTATTATAAAGGTATGCCTGAAGTTATGCTAGCATATAATCAAGGGTTTATGCAGCTGTTAAGTTTGAAATATAATATTTAAAGATGTAACCACAAGTGCACCAAGGATCATGTTTTAATGATCAGATTGGGATATCCTGTGAAATTTCTTCAGCAAAACCTTGGCTCTGATTCTGTTTGGTGTGCTCCTTTTTGATCGACTCTCTTCTAATATACATCCACATTAGTATTATGTTGCACAGTGAGCTTTGTCATTTCTAGTAGTTTTAGGAATATCATATATCATTCTTATTCTTCTTCAGATTGTTTGAGTGGGAAGAACTTGAGGGCAATGAAGTCCACAAACTGAGTGTCAAGGTGTCTGAGAAAGTTCTGACCCAATTAAAAGATGTTGGACAACAATTAGCATTGACATTTAACAGTGAGGGTTCCGAACTGGCTGTTGGTGGCGAGGTAGACTATCTCTTTCGTTTTTCTATTTGTTATAATTAGTCTGTTGCATGGTTCATCACTCACACAAGGGGGGGGGGGGGGGGGGGGGGGAACTGTGGTTCTTGCTTTATGCTCAAATTATCTGAAAATGATGCTTCAGTCTAGCTGTACATTTTCCTGTAAACTTAAGGGGCATATGCTGGTTGTTTTATCACATGATGAATCACTTTATGCAGCGAGGTTGTCTTTGAGGTTTGACTTGGATTTCGAAGATATATGATGATGGAATATCAATATAATTCTATCTTGACATAGAGAGGGAGAAAAAATAAAAGAAAAAACAAAGACGTTAAAAGGCACCGAAATGTATAACAATTTATGACCTTTGTTCTGTACCCTTTAGTACTATAGATTCTACGCGTCCTTTTTTTTGGTGCCATTGTCGAAGTAATATTTTCTGCATGGGGGCTTTCAAACTTTAAAGTTGGCCATTATTGAAGGCAGACGATAGCAAGTTATAGGACCTTCTTTTGGAGCCCACTTTTTGATTGAAGAGCCAACTTTCCGTTTCTGTATGTTATGTCTCATTTATTGAATTTCACCATTTTGGGCCTAATGCATTATTCATGATGCTCTGGTTTTGTTGCAGTACAGGATGGCAGTTTAAGGGTTTTCAAATGGCCTAGCATGGAAATAATTCTCAATGAAGCCCAAGCTCATTCATCCATTAAGGACTTGGATTTTAGGTCTGTGCTAGTGGGACTCACAAAAATATATATTTCTGAACCTGCATCTCCTTTTTTCCCTGCTTATACTTTCAAAGGAGGGGCTGTCGAAGGGGAGGAAACTTCATCTCCTTAGTAATCATTTTTTTGCTGACATCTTTACTGTTTGTATTGCAGCTGTGATGGAAAATTTCTCATCTCATTGGGAAGTGGCCTTTGTAGGATTTGGGATGTAACATCATCAAAAGTTGTAGCTTCTTTGGCAAAGGGAAATGTGAGTGAGTGAATCAAAACCTTTTAACAAGTGAAACTTTCTCTAGTTATTACAACTTTGGTGCTGTTAGTGCTAGCCTTTCAAGTTATAACATTGAGGAGAGTTGTCTATGTGCATACCTCTCTATCTCTTTCTTTGGGAAGGATCTCTGTGATGTTGTAAAAAATAAATAAATAACAGTGTTTAATTAAATATGAACCATCCAAATAATTTAGTGAATTAACCAGTCTTTTTGCCACATGTCTGGCAGATATGAGATAATAAAGGAATAGTCAAGTTTTTCAGGTGATTCAAGTTGATCATTCTTCTATGTGTTGGGTTTGAACTGATTTATTTGGTTTATGTACACTCCAGGATGAGATTTTTGCCTTCTGCAGATTTTCTCAAATTAATGATAGGAATCCAGTTCTGTATATTGCTGTAGTCACAGGTAAATATTAGCATTGGGCTCTGCTTTTCTATGCAGTAAAAGGAAAATCCTCATTTTGGCTTGTAAATTTACCATCATAACTTCATCTTGACAGACCATGGTGGAAGTATTTTAACATGGAACACAAGCACATGGAAGAGAATGCGATCAAAACGAGTAGTCCGAGAAGCTATCTCTGCTTTCAATGTCTCGGCTGATGGGAAGTTCCTTGCAGTGTAAGAATTATTACTTTGTTGGCTTCAACACGTTACCTTCACTTGAAAATACTTAAAAACTTCAGTACAGGTGTGATTAGGACCCATTGTGAGCATTCCTTGAAAGACCTCTCTGGTGCTGATCATATTATATGATTATCTGAATTCTCAATAAATTTAGGCTAAAATAAATTCAATTCCTTCTAAGAACTCTCTGGTGCTGACTGTATCAGATGATTCTGCCTCCCCCTTCCAATTTTTATATTTTATAATGTAGATTGGTTATGGCTTCTTGGCTTATTAGATGGAGTTTCAGCTGCTGACATTTGCTAGATCCCTTTTGTCAATAAATATATCCATTCAAGTCTTGAAACTCTATATGCTTTTGGAATTCAGAAAATGAATAGTTTTTCTTTACCTGGTTGACATGCAGTGGAACGGTTGGAGGAGACCTTTTTATCATAAATTCTTACAATATGCGGGTTCAAATGACGGTAAAAAAAGCTCACCTTGGTTTGGTTACAGCATTGACATTCTCCCATGATTCAAGGTTGTACAACAATGTATTTTCATAATATCTTTTTCTCTGCAAACTGTTTATGCTACAGTACCTCTTATAATTAGAATAATATTGAAGAATGCAGTTTTGGATACAGGGCTTTGATCTCTGCATCACTGGACTCAAGTGCTAGGGTGACACTAGTCAAGGACACGAAGAAAAGTGGTATGTGCCTTTTCTGGATTTTCTTGTTTTGCTAACTCAAAAGGTGCATATGTACCTTGGATTGGAATGGTTGCCTCATTGCCGTCACATGCTAACACTTGCTAAAAACTTATTTGCCCTCTTTGGGGACCTATCTTAGACAAATCCATATCATATGAACATCCCAATATAAGTTTGAGTTTGTTAACTCAAGGGGACATGCTACAAGCCTACAACCATCAAATGGATTATGGTGAGTCCCCTGAGATTTTGTGCTGTTTAGTCCTCCAGTTTGAAACATCATTAGAGACCCATGGATGACAAAGTTTATATGACTGGGAAATGAAATATTAGTTCAAGCTCTGACATGATCAAGAATTAAGTCAGCTATTGCTAGTATGTCCCTGATCTAACCACTGAACATTTGGTTAAGTGGTGAGTGCACTTATGTCCCCTGCTTGTCAGGTTTGGGGTTCAAGCCACACTGTGTACGCTTGGCTTGGTGGGGTTAAAGTGGCCGTGACATGGGTGAGGGCAGGTATGTGGAGCAAGCCTACCTGCATACCCATTTTTTCGACCAAAAAAAAAGGCCCCTGACCTACCTTGGACTGTCATACACATGCCTGTTATTTTTATTGTATAACTAGTTATCCTTTTTGTTTAGATAATAAATAAATCGTGCTTGATATAGAATGGATTTGAACTTTGGTCGTTTATGGAAAATGTAATATGATACATGTATGTCTTAGACATTGCAGGAAAACAACCATAATACAATACATGTAAATAACAATCAAATAATATTTCAACTCCAAGTTTGCCAATGCCACAACAGCTTAGCTGATTTCGTTATTTTATATTCTAGACTTTGGAAAATGATTTTGTACGTAAAAGCTCTTTACCTTCTTCTTTTTTTTTTTTTTCCTTTAATTTTACAGGTGGAATTAGCTGGTTGATTGTATTCATGGTACTAGTTGCTATTGCTGTGTATTTTATGAAGGAGAAGGGAATTATACCATAATAGATTCTTATTGCAGTTTGGTTCATTACAATGCGATATGGAGTTGTGATTTAGATGGATGTAATGAGCTGACTGGTTCATACGCAATTCCTGCCTAATTTGTAACCCATAGCATGTGATAGGAACTTGGAAATTTTGCATTTCTAGGCATTTTGTGCAGAAAAGTTGGAGACCAGCATAAGATAAAATAAGTATATTTTCATTTCCATTAATAACCATCTGTTTCTAGTATGTAAGTTTTCATTTGATTTTAACATTCTATGTAAAAAAATGAATCCTCTTCATGTGTAAATTTTTTTCAAATGTTGGTAGTCAAAAAGATAAAAGTATTTTACCCGAAGTGAACTTGTAAGTATTTATTGTAAATTTTAATTTTTTAGATACTAAATTGTTAAAAATGACATAAGTCGAGGATCAAATAAATATTTAATCCATTATTTTATAATACTGGATTGCCACTTTTGACTTTAAGTAATATTCAATTCAACCCATATTGAAAGATAATGATCAAAGTTCTAAGGTAATTAAAGTGGTTACTAGTAGGTAAGAATCCAAAATTTCGTAAAGAAATTTATGCCACCGGACTTTTAACACTTAAATTTTCCGTTTTATTCTATACTTTTGTATGGCTAAATGTCAAAAGTAATTGAATTATAGAAGTCAAAATTTTCTTGGGCATAATGAAAGCCATCATTACTCCTAGGTATCATCCACAAGCCCACCTCCTTCACTCATCCAATTGAATTTTGATTTATAGTTCATTTTTATTTTTTATTTTTCACTTTCTATAAAAAAAAATAAATAAAAGCATCAATCACACTGATTCTGAATTATTTCTTTAGGCTTCTAATGTTATATTAAATAATTTTTATTATTAAATTCATCACTTATCTTTAGACATGTAACTTTATATATTTTTGAACTTTGATTAGAGCCAAGGATTGGAAAATTAGCAATAGAGCGTGAGCGAGACGCTCTACAGAGGCGAGTACGGGGGATACCTGTTATGTCAAATCATAATAAAAGGATTTTGTTTTCGCCTCAGGAGTGGATGATGATAGATGTGCATCAAAAGAAAAAAGAAAAGAGAAAGAAAAGATGCTTTTACGGTGCGATGATAGTGGGAAAGATTTTCTCTCTGCACTTAAAGTCAACGCCCACATCTTTTTTGTCATTTACCGCATTTCAGTGCGCTCTTTTTCACTGCATCACCTCTCTCTCTCTCTCCTTCCCTTCTTATTCTATGTGCTCGTTCTCATTTGCTTCTCTTGAGCCCCTCCCCTTTTCCCCTTAATCCCATTTTTCATGCTTCATTAGAATTTAGAATAAGACGACTTATAGTTTCCTTAACTATTTGATTATGTTAAATTGTTATTGTTAATAGTATTTTTAGGTTCAAAAAGTAAAAGATCGTTAACAAATAATTAAAGATATTTTAAATTTTTTATTTGATTTAATATGTAAATCAATTTGAGATCTTCAATTTACGCTATTATTATGCCTTCAGAAACTTTTTATATTCTGTTTATAAATAAAAAAAATTAAATATATTTATTCCATTCATATTATATTAATTTTTTTTATATTTTTTAATCTCTTTTGTATTGATCTTTGATGTGAATATAAGAATATAAATATAAATATATTTTTATTTTTTTCTTTAATCATTTTTCTCTCTTTTTAATGATTTGAAGATTTTACTTTCAAAGTCGAAATTTGACGTCAATAATTATGAAAATAAAATAAAAATTATAAACTGTTGTTATTAAATAATTTAAATTATTAACTTTTTCATTTATATACAAATTTAATACAATGAAATTATACACTTACATGTACACAAATCAATTTTAATTACGATGAAATTTGAATACCAAATACAGAGAGTTAAGGAAAGTTTTGAAACCCAAGTCGGTCAATTTTTCGTTCTTAGGAATGATTTTAGGTCACAATTAATGTCATTGAGGCAAGGTACAAAACGTTATTTTCATTGGAACACGTGTCTCAATGATATTAGTGAGGTTTATGATGAGTTGAACTGGAGAATGACAGGATAAGCTAGCCAGCAGAATCTAACATAATGATAAAAAGCGGAAAAAGCAACCTGAACAGAGGGGCAGAGTGCGCAGGATAAGAGTCAGCAAACCTTGGACTTTACCTATCTATAAAACGATCCCCCATTTTCACCATTTGCTCAAGGTCAGCGTCACTCATTCCCATAAAACCCCCCAACCCCAAAAAAGAAAACCCATTTGTTTACTTCATTTTCTTGTTCTTCTTCTTCTGATCTGCCCTGAATTCCTGAAACTGAATACAGCATTTACTCTCTTTTTTTTTTTTTTTGCTCTGAAAAAAATTGAAAGAGTAGTAATAATTAAGAATGGACGGACTGCCCCCTGGTTACCGCCCCAATGTTGGTGTCTGTCTTATCAACTCTGATAATCAGGTACCCTTCTTGACTTCTTCTTGGGTTCTGTTTTTTCTTTTGTTTGTTTGAGTTTTTTCATCTGAGATAGCAGAGGAGATTCAGCTGACAAATGGCCTGAAAAGAACACAGAAAAATTAAAATAGTAATAAAAACAGTACTTGAAATCCAGTTACCAAAATTCTAGTTAAGTCAACTTCGGATGTATGTGTCTAGATTTTTTCTTTTTTGAGATGAATAATTTAGAGTTTTTTTTTATTTACTGTTTGTTGATTAAAATGTTTAGAATATGAAAAAAGAAGTGAGAATGATTTTGGTATTAAACCCATTGTTGGTTTGTTTAGAAAATGTTTAGAATATGAAAAAAAAAAAAAAAAAAAGCTTCTAGGCTTTGGACTTCGGAGCCTGAGCTTCAACTAAGTCAAGTTAGAATTTGCATTTTTTTTAATGAAAATTTTTGTTTTTAATGGTTGTTTGAGGTCTGTTATTGCGAAATATATGGGTAGAGAAAGCTGAATACGCTTCGTTTTTCTCCTTACAGATTTTTGTAGCTTCCAGATTGAATGTTCCAGGAGCCTGGCAGATGCCTCAGGTACTATCCTGTTTGATTTTCTCTATTTTGTAAGCCTCATTACTTGATGGAACTTCAATTATTAGTTAAAACTGGAGCACTTTTCTTTTCTTTTTTCTTTCTTTTTTTCTGCTGCTATTCTGAGTAATTACACAATTCATATGCGTAATATTAGTCTTCCTAGACCCCAACGGCTGAAAATTATCTCTGTATTGCCGGCTATAGCTTCATTGCCTCCTAACTGAAGCCCTTTTGTACATTTTCTGTTTCATAACTGTATGCTTTTACGTGTTTTACCAAAGTGTATTTATAGTTTTATGTGAGTGAGCACATCAACACATGGCTAATTAAAAGAAATGAATTGCCGGTCAGTTGTATTTTTTCTTTTTTTTTTCATATTTGAGTGTCTTTGAGTCTTTGAGTCTTTGATGTTAGCAGAATCAACGTCTTCTTATCTTACTGCATATTTCTTTCTCTTTTAGACAATCAAAATCTTTATTTTGCATTCACCTGTGATGGCCTCATCTCTGAAGATGGCACATATGTCAGGGCTAGCTTAATTGATTATAATTTTGGGATTTTACAAACTCAGGGGGGTATTGAAGATGGTGAGGAGCCAAGATATGCAGCTATAAGAGAATTGCGAGAAGAAACTGGCGTAGTGTCTGCTGAAATTATTGCTGAGGTTTGTTAAAAAAGATAGTCTTGTTATGCTACAGTTTTTTCTACAACTTCAGAGATTTGAGTATTGAATGTAAATAACATGGATCTAAGTGTAGAATTATTAACACCAAAGTCACTGTTTATTTAGCAATAGCATGAATGGTATATTTAAAGTCTTGATGTGTCAAAAAGCAAAGAAATTTGGGCAAAAGATAGAGAAAAAGAGAACAGATCAACATTTTCTCTCTTCATGTATTGTCTCCAAAGATAAGAGAAATCGAACACATATGGTTATTTCAAATTATAGAATCACTTTAAAAAAGGTACTGGAAACAACAATTCCTTCTAAAAGTATAAAGCATTCAAGCTATATTCTTTAACTTCTAAGCAAAAGTTTAGTTAAATACAATTTCCTCAATTCTCTGTCTCTAACTTCTTTCTTCCCCAATTGCTGCTGTACATTTAATTAAGATTTTGGTTTCGCAGGTTCCTAATTGGTTGACGAATGATTTTCCTCCTGCTGTTAAGGCCAAAGTAAATAGACTCTGGGGAGGTGAATGGCATGGGCAGGCACAGAAATGGTTTGTTTCTCCTTTCTTCTCATTCCTCTCTCTTTTATCCAACCACAGACACTCAAATCTAGGTGGGCTCATCTATTGGAAGAAAGTCATGTTGGTTTGAAATTGTTGTTTTAGTTTTTAATGTGCCGTGCATACTTATCATCCTTGTTTCTGTGAATTTATGTATTCTTCTTTATTATATTGGGTGTTAGGAGGAAAGCAACTGTTGCATTTTCTAGTTTGGGAAAACCTTTTTGCGAGAGTATACACCTGGAAAACTGAAACTCTATGATGAATCATGTGGACACTTGCATGGGCTATCTGACAGTGGTTGAGCATTTCTTAAACTAGCTCACATGCTATCTTTAGCAACATAAAGAAACAGTGTTCTTTTCAGCATTCTCCTGTCTCAATATCCTATCTGAGGCAGCATTCTGCTGGACTTTAACTGACGGGAATTATGGAAGGTCACCATGTGTTGAGATGTGGTAGTTGGTAGATATATAAAATATATGGATGTAGAATGTTTTGAATTTGTTCCTGCAAGAGAAGCTCATGGATATGTTTTCTTTTTGTGTGTGTATGTCTGTCTGTGGTAATTGGATTAGACTGAGATATGATACAAGTACCTTTTGTTCTTTTTTCTTTCTAGTAAATTCAGAAACACTGGTAGACAGAGAGTGAGCCAAGAGTCATACTCTAATTACTTTCCTTCAGGGGTATATAAGTCGCTTCATTTGATAGTTAAAAGTTGAAAGAAACTCTAAAAGTAAACTCAAACTATTTCATGATAAAATTCTCTTTTATTGGATTTTATATGTGATTACAAGGACTAGTTTGATCATTATCAGGTAAGAAAAGCTGTTTTAGCTATTCTTTTCATCCTCATATAGAGTTAGTGGCTAGCCATGCATATCCCCTCTAAATTTGTAAACATTTTGGTTAAATTCTTTTAAGTATATTTTCATTACTTTGCTGATAGTTTTGATGTTTGGGTGTGAATGCTTGTTATGCTTGCATCCTTATTGTGAAAGGCAGAGACCAACTGCATGAGTTACCAAAGCAATTGATACTTGAGAGGCATAAAATGCTTGTTTAGTATTAATGTGGTATTTAAACAATGGTCAGTACAATCTACAAATATATGGCCTTTTCTTACTTCCTCTCCCTGTAAAAATCTGTGCATGAAACCTGTGCTCTAAAATCTCTACTTTTTATTTTTTCATTTATTTAATTTCATTATTAAGCTATATCCCATCTGATCACCGTAGTCATTTTTTACCTGGGGCCATGAAATACATAGGAAGAAACTATAAGAGTTTGTGATGTTTTCATATGATTTGTGGGATAACAATAGATTGGGACAACCGACAGGTTTCTTATGAGATTAACAAAAGATGAGAGTGAGATCAACTTAGCAAATGGAGAGGCAGACCCTGAATTTGCTGAGTGGAAATGGGCAACCCCTCAAGAAGTTGTTGAGCAGGTATTGTGCAGTAGCGGCATTAGAATTACTATTATAACTTTTATAAATGAGTACCCTTTGAAAAGGCTTACTAAGATGAGATGTCTAACAAATCGGTTGCAGGCAGTCGACTACAAAAGGCCGACATATGAAGAAGTTATGAAGACCTTCAGGCCTCACATTAGTGACAAAGGCAAAGCCGCAAAATGTAAATCAACAAAATGGTGAATGCTATGGTGTGTTTTTGTAGGTTTCTCTCCATGTTTTTTTTTCTTGGTAGTGATTATATCCGGACTCTCTTGATCGATCTTTTCTCTCTGTAAATGGATATGGCAGTTAGAACTTCTAAATTTAGATGGTTGTTTCGCTGTAATAAAATGTTTGTGCAAAAGATATATGATGCTCCTGGTTTTTTATTGAACTTTTTGCAAGTTGCGATCATCTTTTGCTTGATTGAACCTTCTGTATTTTTCTTTTTCTTTCTCCTATAGCATAGCTGCATAGCACTGTTTCATTACTGAATTTCCTCGAGAAGCTTATAACATGTTAATTACAAAAGATATTTTGGAAAATTCTTGGTCATGCATTTATCAATTTATCCTCTCAAAGTACATATATATATATATTATAGTACTAGTTGAAGGCTCGCCATATATTGCTAGATTTGAACATAGTATTGGAATAATGGAAGATCATCGTGCATGCAAACATTGAATGTATAATGGAATCCAAACTAACATCGAAGGATCAATGAAATTTAAATTAATTTGAGGATTGATGGTTATGTTTGATATATAAGATCATTGATAGGATAAAATGATAATTATTTTATATTATATTTGATTTGTATATAAAAAAATAAGATTATAAAAAGGATTAATCATTGTTTTGGTATAAAATGATTAAATCCTCTTAAAGTGAAAAAAATTATTTTTAATTCATGAGATTGAATTTATATATTCAGTTATATCTTTAAAAATTACATTAATAATTTAAATTGTATAAATTTTAAATAAAATAATTTTAACCAATAAATAAATTATTTTATCTTAATTTTTACAAATATTAAACATAAAATAAAATAAAATTATTTAATTTAATTTTATTTATAATATCATCTTATCTTATCTTATCATAATTTTATATACCAAATATATCCAATAAATATCATAATAAGATAAATAAGAAAAAATGGAAAGAAATATAAATTAGAAATACAGGATAGAAAAAGAAAAAATGAAATCATTGAAAATTTAAAATTTTATGACCAAAATTAAATTCTATAAATAAAGTCAATAAGATAATACATATATATTTAAAAATAAAAAATTAATTAAAACTAAGACATATATCAATGTTTTAATTTCATTTGTAAAATTAAAAAAATTTATACGAATAATACATCAAATAAAATAAAAATATCAAACGTCAATATATAGGGTAATAAGAAAACAAAACAAGTATAGAAACTTATTTCTAAAAATTAAAAACCAAAAAAGGAAATGAGAAATAAGAAATATAACAAATCCAGCTATAAGATTAAATTTTTTAATTATTCTTTTTAGTTTTATATAATTTAGAATATTAAAAAAAAAAAACCTAAATCCTAATCCCTATAAATTAATAATGAAGATTGATTAACCTAATCAGAGATATTAAATTGGGTTGGTTTCCTATATAAAAGGTGACGACGGTAGCGAACGCCTGGTTTTTGTGGGAAGAGTCCAGCCAAAGTTTGGCAAACTAAAAATCAGAGATAAACCCAAAACCCAGCAGCTGAGCAAATGCGTATTAGTCGTAGTAACGAAGTGGAAATAAGGAGCAGGCTTAAGGACGCAATTCTCTCAAAGCTTGCTGCTTCAAACCCCTCAATGCCCATAAACCCTGACCTCGTCCACCTTCGCTTGCTGCAATTCTTTCCTACTTTTCACACTCCCATTCACCCTCCTTACTCTTCGGTAACCATGAATCACCTTTTCTTTTCTTTTTTTTTTAATTTGATATTTGCCTTTTTCTTTTTGTTATTTGTCTTGGGGACGAAGGCCTTGCCACTATCCTGTAGGTTAATGTTGAATTTTGTTATTATATTTTAATTTTATTGAATTTTTAATGATGATTTTATCGTATTCTGCTGCAAATGCCAGCATCCATTAATGTCTTTTCTATAGACTTAAATAGAAGATTATTGAATTGGGAAGCCAAAAGATGCAGACAATGACATGGCATTTGGCAAGGAACTTGTGCAATGCTCTTGTTTCTTTTTTAAAGAAAAATTAAATTCATGATTTTAGCTCAGTAATGATAGGAACTGAGCGTTGTCATTTTTATGTTGTCGTTGCTTATTTATATTCTCACTTTTTTTTTCTTGTTTTGTTACTTATTTAGATGATACAGCAAGCAATTTTGAAACTAAATGAGGAATGTGGGTCAAGTGAGGAGGCAATATCAAGGTTTTTAGAGAACGAGTATGAGGGTTTACCATGGGGGCATGCTAGTTTTTTGAGTCATCATTTGAAGAAGCTTTGTAGGAATGGAGAGATCGTATGCGTCGATAATGAACGGTATATGCTCCATGTAGATGATGTTGATTTGGGGGGCGAGAAAGAAGAGATGAGTCATAGGTTGAACATTTCAAATAGAAATGAGAAGGAAGATCAAACCTTGGTCCAAGGCAAGGGGAGAGAAGTTGAGGCTATTGATGGCTGGAGTGGGGTAAACGGTGATCAAGCTGAGGAATATGAGGATCGATGTGATGTTGAAAGACAGAGTGTTGAAGTGAATAATCAAAAGAAAGCATGTGAGCAGAGAATAGAGAGATTTGAAGAACAAAAGGAAGGCAGACAAGAATTAATTAAAAAGGTACAAGAACAAAGTCAAAACTTCAGTGGACAAATTGAATTGGTTGAAGAAGTCGATGTAGCAAAAGGGAAGCTAGCTGAGTTGGCTCAAGAACAAAGAGGAGAAAAGAGAAAGCAACCACAGAAGACTAAACAACAGATAAAGGTGGTTCATCTTATATTACACCTGTTTATAGTATTCCAGTGATTACTCATGTCACATATTGCAACCTAAGACAAACTGGTACTTTTTTTTCATATAAATTGGGCATTGCGTCTGTGAACTTACTTTTCCCTTGTTTTTGAGAAGATACTTTTCCCTGATTTTAATTACTTTGTGGTTGTAAACAGGGATATATAGCTGCACTAGCTCACTTATTTTTGTGTTGGTTAATTTATTTGTGATTGAAGTTTCAACAGGATTTTACAAACAGCTTATTGACACTTAATGCTTTATTGAACTGAAAAGGTATTAAAGGATGATACACGGCCTATGATGGAAGAAGAGAAGAAATATGTTGAGGAGAGGCAACAGCAACCAAAGAATGGAAGTGGAGTAATGAAATCTGTTGGAGAACAAGAGCAACTTCGACAAGGTGAGATGATTATTGAACAAGGCCACCCACAGGACCAGAAAATTGGCATCAGAGCCAAGATGCTGGTATTCCCTTGTGACGGAGATGGAAAGACTTCACTTCGGGAGTGTTCTATGCATCTATTAGAAGAGGAAAAGAAGGTAGCTTTAGAGCATATGAGGCAGCAGCAAAGGAAGCTTCACCACAGAGAAAGGAATTCAATTATTGTTTGTGCTCTGCCCGCACAACTGCCGCCACAATCAGGGACAAATATTTACCAGAAGGCACATAAGTTGCACACAGACTCAATATCAGCATCTCTTGAAACGAGGGAGTCGGGGCAGATCCTTTTACAGCAGCTTAAGCCTTTTAGTCCTCAAAGGCCTGCAGATCTTCAAGTGACTACATTTGAGAGGTTTAATCAAAATGAGCAGAAGCCTGCTAAGTTTTATACAAGGAGAGAGATACAAAATTCTCAGCCAAAAGTAAAAACTTCCTTTGATGTTTCCGAACATTTAGAAGAACTTGAGGAGAAGCATGAACAGCAATTTCAGAAACCAGAAAAGCTTCTAGAATATGAAATAAAGACCAATGAAGCTAATTTTTGTGGTGAGGAGGCAGCTGTATCCCTATCGGTCAAAGTGCAAGATTCGATGAATGATCTAGGGCCGCATGGAAGGGAACTCCCAAAGAAAAGGATAAAGGTTTATGTTCGGAGAAATGTGAGCAAATGCAAGCTAAAAGAATCAGAAAATTCCAATATTTTGTCAACAAATTCAGAATAGCTTGAAAAGAAATATTAATTGGAGGTTCACTCACTCATTGAACACAAACTATCAGTGGTTCCTTCCTGAGAAGGTCAAGATCAAGTAATTATGTAGTTGACATCCTATCAGCCTTTCTAGTGGGAGGGAATTGACACTGTCTAGCTGGTTAAATGTTTTGTAGCCTCAAGGTGAGCCTTTATTTATTTTCTGTTTCATAGCTGTATGCTTGTTTTTGGTTTACCTGAGTGTATCTACAGTTTTTTCAAAGCATTGATATGATTAATTATATTCTCATTCTTAAGTTAAAACTCCTGTGATATTAGGTAGCGATGTGTATCATTTTCAAGATCACCACAGTGATTTAATTAACATGGTGATAAAATCATCCCACACCAGACACTCACAGATACTTTCCATGCAATATTTTCGCATTCTAAGTGTCTTTGGTATCTGTAACAGAATAAAGGATTCCTCGTTTTGCTGTACAGTTTTACGACATACAAAACTTTTGCTTTGCTTTCCCTGCATTAGTGTTATCTCTAAAGCATGCACGCATTCAGCTCATTTTTCTGGGATTATTGATGAAATCTGCGGATAAATACACAGACTTTTGCTGTTATCCATTTTTATTATCCTCAACAAACTTAGACAGATCCCACTTTGAAGCTTCATTTGGAAGCACCGTCACACCATGGAAATATGGGTCCTATGTCAAAATCACATCTTAGCGGACGGGAATTCATTCCCACCACCCTTCCAAAATCTTATAATAAATTCTACTGTCATTTGGTATTTTGCGGATGTTTATAATTATTGAGTTTTATTTCACGATGGATTCAGAATTTTTTTGGGGATGTTTACGTACAATATGTATATAATTGTGGATGGATTTATCAATCTCATTAATTTTTTTAAAATTTTTTAATTTTTTTAATCTTTAGGGATGTTTACAAAGACCTTACCAAAACATTTGAATCCACCTCTAGTTTTATATATATATATAAACTAGGATTATACCTATGCTACGCTGCGGTATGGTTATTATTAAACTCACAAATAAAAATCAACATAATTATGAAATAATGTGTTAATATATAATAGTGTTAGTGTTTGTATATATCTTGATAAATAAAAACAAGCATAAATATATTTAAGTATTTGCTTTCAAAAACATATCACATATGAGATACTTACAAAAGCTTTATTAACATATAATTCTTGTATGTTTAGCATTAAATCTAATTATGTAACGAAAACGGATGAGTTGGTGATATTTTTATTTTTATTTTTTTAATTTAAAAATAACAGAGAATCCAATAATTTCTGTTTGATGTCTAAAATTGACGACTCTAAAGTAGTTTTCTTTCTCAATAATATATTGTATCAACTAAAAGACTTAGTAAGTACATTGATTTCACCGGCCAAAATATTTTAATATATAGATAATCCTAAAATTTACATGCTAAAATTTAAAGAGACATAAAGTTTGAAAAGTTAGTGGAAACCAAAAAGAAAAAGAGCAAATATCATCCTTCCGCTTTTTTCATACTTAGAAATCAGATAAATATGCTATTTTGCTATTGCTTATTGGATTATGAGAAATTAATAATTACTTAAAATGACTTTTTTGCAACGGCATTTTAAAATAGATAATAAAAAAAATTGTTAACTTAATGAAATGGGAAAATCAATTGGATAGGTGACAGAAATCAACGTAACTATGATAATCCATGTACAAGTGCATTCATGATGATAGTATTGCCATTGAAGTATATTATATTTCGTGAAATTCCCATAAACATATTCTTCTCCACTTTTTGTGTGCGTGGGTCCTAAGTATAAATCATGTTGCAACTATTACATATGGTTAAAGTAAAATATGCGGATGGCTTGGAACTGTTACCTGGTAGTATAGATTTTGACATATATCAGAGGCATTCGCTGATTTGCTCTATTATAATGCTTTGCTACATGATATACTGTCTCAGGAACATATTCAAACACCAAATTAAGATAGAGCTCATCCTTATCGGTCGTTGAAAAGAAGCAGTGCATGAGTGACACAACATTGGGATGATCAAGTAAGCGCATTGTTTGCAACTCAGGGGTTTTATATCTCTTGCCCTGTAAAACATTCTTGATTGCTACGATTTTTTCACTTTCTAGACATTTAGGTTGCAACATCATATATACATAAGGCTGTAAAACTGCGTTTGTAAGGTGATAACAAAGGCATCAAAACAAAGGCTTTTGCATTTATGATTAAAAAATTGTCATCAAAACATCACCTGAAATACAATTCCAGAAAGAACGTTGACCAACAACACACTCAATCATGTAACTTATGGTCTGTAGAACAATACAAAAGGAATTTAAAGATAAGGGAGTTTAATGCATGTTGGTTCTCCACCACTTCTAATTTCACAATGATAGTAAAAATGAAAAAGTAAGAAGTTGTACTCCAACAAATCAAAATATGTAAAAGGATCAACAATCAGATAGAATTAAGAAATTACAAATGCAATCAACTCAAGAAATTAAAGGAAATCTAAATATCAAATAATCAGAGCTTTCGATTATATTAAGTTTGTAGTGTAGTTAACTTACCAAAAATATTGCATATTTGAACATTATAAATAGTGAATTCTTTTCTTTTGCATATCCTTTTCTTGGATTGTTGATCCCTTGGTATATCCTAATTTACTTGACAATGAGACCTTGAGTTATTATAGATATTGCATTATTATAAGTCAGATTAATGTTGTTTCTAATTATGAGAATCGAATCTTAGTGATAACAAACCCTGCTTTGATCTTTCAGGCAACTTAGCTAGAATTCAGCTTGGGAATTTGTTACCAATCACAGAGGCATAGGAAATGGGATTTGATATTTTCTTAATTACTAAAAGTTTAGCAATTTTGATTCACTTACAGGACGGTTGATGATGACAACAGAGATAAAAAATCAGGCACTGATCCAGTTAAACTATTATGCGAGAGAATAAGGCCATTTTGTACACACAAATTAAGCTTGCTGTAGATTAATATTGTTGATAAAAGAGATTGAGCCATTTACAAATGTTAATATGTAAACAGATGCACCTAAGAAGAAAAATACGGTTGCATGCATTAAAGTTTTAAAACATCAAATTAAGACAAATAGAAAGCTTATTATATTTAAAACATTAGAACGAATTTATCACATTGTGAAAAGGCGCAGTTTATTAGCGAATCAATAGCATTGTCCAGAAGCATCCTCAAATCCTATTGAGGGATTTCTCACAATCAAAACCTCAACTTTGAACAAAAAAACCCAAACTTTACAAAACAAATCAAAACCCAAATAAAAAAAATTAAAAAAATCCCCAATCAAAACAATTAAACCCTTAACTTTATCAATCAATAATCAAAATTCATTTCAAAAAAATATCAAAAGAACAAAAAACGAACAATGAAAATAAAATATTTATGACTTAATAATAAAAAATTATATTAAAAAAATAATAAAAAAAATAAAAAACATGAGATTAACTCAAAACAAAATCCAAAAGAGACTTATGAGAAAAAACTCAAATTTTGACATATTCATAAAGGTTAATTCTTTGTCAAGAAAAGCCTTTATAGTTTGAGAGGGTGGTTGAGAAAAGCCACTATTGACTTCATATAACAATTGAGGAGAGATGAGAAGAGTTTGAAAAGACGCTTAAAAGCTTCTAGAATTGCTTTATTTCAAAATTACCCTTGCAATTTTTTTAATACATTGTTTAGGTGTGTTAAAAAATGCAAGATTAAGGATTGCTTTTATTTATTGCTATAAATGTTTTATTCAAATAAATAATACATGTCAAAATTTGAGATAATATAAAATATCAATAATTAATAATTCAATGAATCAATAATAATAATAATAATAATAATAATAATAATAAATACAATTCAAAATTACTTCCAAGCGGAGATAATTCTTAATTGAAGAATACTTCATCATTGATTTTTAAAAAATAAAACATAAATATTTTTATTTAAAATTATTTATAATAAATAAAATATTCAAACTATATAATAAATAAAAATATAAAAAACAAAAAATGAAATTCAAATCAAAACCATTTGGTTGAAAATTATAATTTTTATATTTCTATTTTCCGATCCTTTTCTTTTAACCTTGTTAAAAAATATATATATAATTTGCAATAAAATAAAAAAATGAAATTAAGCAAATAATTAATAAAAATTTACAATGCTCCTAACGTAATAAAAATAATAATATATAATTTGCAATAAAAGCTTTTAAAAAATTGTAATATTTTATGTATGAATTAAAATTTTTATATTATTTTGTGTTAGCATAAGCATTAATATATTAAAAAATAAACAAAAGTATACTAGTATTTTTTTCTTAATTTAATCTACTATTACTATTTCATAGGAAATCAAAACGTTGAGGAATGATGTGATGTTACGCAACACCAGACGACAGAATAGATTCCACTCCGCACTTTTCAACGTTGGCAGGCGATAAACATTGAGCGCACAAAATATGGCGCTTACGTGGCACGTCCTCGTTCATTACCATTCCCCATTAATTACACGGCAAATGGGCTATGGGGAGGGAGGGAGCAGGGAAACTTCCCCTTCCTCAACTCACCGCCATCGGCCGAACAAAGTCCGCGATTCGCAGCGCCCTAGGAAAAACCCAAATCGCCTTGCTTTATCCTTCTGATTTCTTATAAAATTAATAATTAATAGCAATTCTGTTCCTATCATGGCTGAATACTGAAACGACATAATCACCTGACCCACCCCCTATCCTCTATCTCTCTTTATGGCTCTGCAAATGTGGGTATAAGATAAGGTTCGGATTTCGAGCAAACCCAAAATACCCTTTAAGATAATATCTCATTTTTTTTTTTTTTTGACTCAGTTACCATATATGATCCACTTTTAGATATCTTTTAATATAATTAGTAATTGATGGGTGCCTGACAGCGGTTGAGTTTTTGACATGTTCAAGTTGTTTTGTCGGCATTCGTTAGGTTCCGGATACATTCATGTACATACGTATAAAAACGCTTACGTGCTGCTGTATTTCTACGTATTAGGTGTTGGAGGTGCTATTTGAGCAGTACGTATTAGGTGTTGGAGGAGGTGCTATTTGAGCAGTTAATATCTCGACTCCGCGTTTATTTGAAGTTCCTTTCATCAATCCTCAAGCTTCTGGCTTGGCGCCGCTTGCCGACAAAAAAAAGGGTAATTTTTCTTTTTTTTTTGCTTAATCATTTCTCTGTTTTTCTTTTCAATGAGTTTTTTTTTTTTTTTTTTTCTGTTTGATGGATGTTGAATGTTTGTTTGATGAGTTTATGATGAAAATGACTTGAAAAACAAAGGTTTTGCCTACAGGCGTATTGGGTTGAATCCCTTCTCTTGACTTTTAATAGCAACTAGTAATTTGTCTGCATGGAGTTTCTTTTCTCAGATGCTTTCTTGGGGATTGTGTTATAATTCACCAAACATAGCTCTTATTCTTATAGAAATAGATGGAAAAAATATAGTTTCGATGTGTATGTTTTTGTCCTTTTCTTGCTTAATATACTAAAATTTGCATCTAATTTACAAGTTAGGGGCAGAGATCTGCCTAAAAACATATCTTTAAAGAAAATTAATGTTAAAATTTTAGTTCTTTGTTTGGAAACAGGTTTTTAGGATAGTGAATTTGGATTAATCACTACATATAGTTATAACTGTAAAAATCCGATATACCAATTCATTTGCAAGAGTTTAATGGGATTTATTTGAAATTCACTTTTCCATATCTGTATTACAGATTTCTTAGGTATCATATTCCAAATCTAACCAAACCCATGGATTTGAGTATAATCATAAAACTCATATATTCATGAGTATTCCCACACAACTTATACTATATTTCAAGTTCAAATCCTTAGGTTTCCAAATGCAACCCTGGATGACTAATGCTTAGAAGGTTGAGATCTTACTCTATGTTAGGTGGTTTCATATACTTTAATTCTATTACTTCATGTACACTGTGAGCATACATATAGTATAAGTTTTTCATATTGGTTTTCTTTTAGATGGAATCTAATGGTTATTTTAATTTAATCAGAAAATGTTTGACAAAGACTTTTTCACTGAATATGGCGAAGCAAGTCAATATGAAATAAAGGACGTAGTTGGCAGAGGAAGTTATGGGGTAGTTGCATCTGCAATAGATACTCACACTGGAGAGAGGGTAGCTATTAAGAAGATGACCAATATCTTCGAGCACACCTCTGATGCCACACGCATTCTTAGAGAGATCAAACTCCTACGGCTGCTGCGACACCCAGATATAGTTCAAATAAAACACATAATGCTTCCTCCATGTAGAAGAGAATTTAAAGATATATATGTTGTTTTTGAGTTGATGGAATCTGATCTTCACCATGTTATAAAGCTAAATGATGATCTAACTCCTGAACATCATCAATTTTTCTTGTACCAGCTTCTTCGGGGTCTAAAATACATCCACACAGGTTGCTTTTTTTACCTATCAATTGCTGTAGAGTTTTCTCCAATTTGTGATAATAAATGACACCTTTTTTACCTTTTCCTTTCAATTTTTCAGCACATGTTTTCCATAGAGATTTAAAGCCAAGAAATATACTTGCTAATGCTGACTGTAAACTGAAGCTCTGTGATTTTGGACTTGCTCGGGTATCATTTACTGATGTTCCTTGTGCTATTTTTTGGACTGTAAGTGTTTCCTTCTTGCCTTACCACTTTTCTTCTATTCGTTGCCATTGTTTATACCATGTTAACCATTCTTTGCATCTTATCATCATTTACTTTTCAAGGATTATGTGGCAACTCGATGGTATCGTGCTCCTGAACTTTGCGGTTCATTTTTCTCCAAGGTAAATGCTGCAGTTTTTTTCTTACTGCAACTGATTTACTATAATACGTTGTTAGAATTGTTTGTCAGCTGTATGGTTTATTTTTAACTTCCTTCTTTTAGTTTTCTTTAGGGATTTTATGTTGAGGAAAATCTAAGAAATAAAACTGTGTAAAAAACTAAGAATAAAAACTGAATGTATTGAAAAACTGCTTGTTAAGAATTATACAGCATTTTAAGTTTATATACAACTAACGAGTGAGTAAACTAGAAAATTAAATCTTTTTAAAACTGATCCTATAATTGAGGGATTGTCTATCCTAATTTTCTGTCCTTAATTCTAGGAATACAAATACTTAATTTTAGATATACAAATATAAATAGATAGATTACAAGATTACAACCAGCTGTAAATAAGTGATTTCTCACACTCTCCCTCAAGCTAGTGAATAGGTGTTTTCCATTCCTAGCTTAGAAATAATTTTTTGAAATGTTGCACTACTGAGATCTTTAGTCAACACATTTGCAAGTTGACTCTTGGTTGATACATATAGTGTACAAATCAACCTACTGTCTAATTTCTCCTTTATGAAATGCCGGTTTACTTCAATGTGTTTTGTTTTGTCGTATTGCAGAGGATTGTGCGCAATGCTTATTGTAGACTTGGTATCACAATAAAGTCTCATTGGTCCATCCCACTTGATCTTTGAGTCTTCTAGGATAATCTTTAACCATAGTAGTTCACAAATTCCTTGCGCCATTGTTCTGAACTCTGCTTCAGCACTTGATCTTGACACCACATTTTGGTTTTTACTCTTCCAAGTCGCAAGATTACAATTTAGGAAAGTGCAATAGCCTGAGGTAGATCTAGGGTTGGCAATTTAACCCATCATCAATGGATTCCGACTCGACCCGACCCTACGGGGTCGGTTTTTTTTTTCGAAATTCGGGTTTCGGGTTGGGTCGGGTTCGGGTTTTAGGCAAACCCGACCTGACCCGATATTATATAAAAATTTATTTTTAATTAATTATTTAACTTTTTATTTATATATATATTTATATAATGATATTTTTAAATATTTATATTTTAAAAATAATATTTTATATTTTAAAAAATAATATTTTATTAATTTCGGGTTGGGTCGGGGTTGGGTACGGTTTATATAGTATCGGGTCGAGGTAGGGTCGGGTTTAAGTTTGATAACACATAAAGTCGGGTCGCCCCGAACTCGACCCGATGCTAACTCTAGGTGGATCTTCTATCAGTTACTGAACCTGCATAATTCGCATTTGTATATGCCTCTAGAACCAACCCCAAATTTCTTTTGAATGAGATACTTCTCCCAAGATTGGCTTTTAAATAGTGCAATACACAATAGACAGCCTGTAGGTGCATTTCTTTAGGACTATGCATAAATTGACTTATCACACTCATAGCATATGCTATATCTGGTCTAATATTTGAGAAATAAATGACTCTTTCAACTAATCTCCGATATATCTCTCTATCTACAACGGCATCTTTATTAGCTTCTCTAAGTTTATGATTAGGATCTATGGGGTATTTGCAGGTTTACATTCAAGCTTCCCAGTTTTCTTCAAAAGATCCATCGCATATTTCTATTGTGAGATGAAAATACCATGCCATGAGCGAGCTACTTTAACCTCCCTAGTTCTTTCATCTCAAATGCTGTAGCCAAACACTGCTTTAGAGATTCTTTCTCTTTTTTTATTTTTTTCAGTTATAATTATATCATTAACATACACTAATAGAACTGTGACTCTCCCTAAATTAGAGTGCTTGATAAACAATGTGTGATCTCCTTGACTCTGCATATATCCCATGACTAGCATCACTTTGGCAAATCTCCCAAACCAAGCCCTAGGAGACCGTTTAAGGCCATATAAAGCCTTTTTCAGCTTGCATACTTTGTTTGCTTCTAGATGACCTCCAAATCATGGTGGAACTTTCATATATATTTCTTCTTCTAAATCACCATGTAGAACCGCATTCTTTATATCAAATTGTTGAAGCTTCCAATTGTAATTTGCAGCCAATAATAACAAAATCCTAATTGTATTCATCTTGGCAACTGGAGCAAAAGTTTCCTGATAATCCACTTCCATAAGTTTGAGTGTAGCCCTTAGCCACCAACCTGGGTTTATACTTTTCAACAGTACCATCCGTCTTATATTTTACAGTGAAAACACATTTACACCCAACTTGATTTTTTCTTTTAGGCAACTATACCTATTCCCATGTCTTATTTTTCTCTAAGGCCTCTATTTTTATTTACATGGCTTGCCTCCATTTCTCACTGGATAATGCCTCGGATAATGTAGTTGGAATAGAAATAGTATTTAGGCTCACAAGGAAATTTTTGTTGGATAAGGAAAAATTTTTAAATGACACAAAATTAAAGATTGGGTATAGTGGATACTTAGTACATTCTTTGGTTCCTTTCCTAATGGCAATAGGCAAATCATAATCACTAGTTGTAGTTTTAGGAGATTCATACTCATTTTGATAAACAGAGTCAAAGACTGTAGTTACCTCATTTTCAGAGTTAGGATCAGGTTTTGGACTTGCACTGGTTCAGGATATGGAACTTTCCTTCTTAAGTTCACCTCTAATTCCTTCATAGAATCAAGAACAATATTATCCTTTGTCACATCTTTTGTGTTTGGAATGGGTTTAGACTCAAATTCAATGTTTGATTGGGACTCAGAAGAAACAAGTTTAGACTCAGAAGAATTAATTGGTGAAAATGTTGACGAAGAGGACAAGTCAAGCAAAAATAAGTCTTTATCCTTTATCTTCCATGAATGAAATCTCCCCATAAAGATAAGGTTGAGTAAAAAGTAATTTAGTTTCTTCAAAAGTGACATCTGCTGACACATAGAATTTTTTAGTAGGAGGATGGTGGCACTTATATCCTTTCTGAGTTGATGAATACCCCACAAAAATGCACTTAATTGCTCTAGGATCCAACTTTCCCCTATTATGATTGTGAACGTGAACAAATGATGTACAACCAAATATCTTAGATGTGAGGTTCTTTGTGGCATTAAGGTTGTGATAGAATTGTGAATGTAGTTCCGTAGGAGTTTTAAATCTCAAAACTTTTGAAGGTAACCTATTTATAATGTGTGTGGCAGTGAGAACAGCTTCCCCCCAAAAGGATTTGGGTATGTTTGTTTGAAAAAATAAAACTCGGATTGTGGCTAGTAAATGGTTGTTTTTCCTATTTGCCACTCTATTCTACTGTGGAGTATTAATACAAAATGACTTATGAATAATCCCTTTCTTTTGGAAATAGGTAGATAAACTCTATTTGAAATAGTCTCTTGCATTATTAGAGCTAAATCTCATGATTTTCACTTCAAATTGATTTTGGATCATGTTTTGGAAGCTTAAAAACACACTATTCATATTTAATTTGGATTTTAAGTAAAAATATCCAAGAGACCCTAATAAAATCATTTATGAAAGAAACAAACTACCTTACACCAGAAATATTAGGAATTATAGAGGGACCTCATATTTTACTATGAATCAAGTAAAAAGGAGTAGAACTTCTTTTATTGCTAACTAGAAAAGACGCACGTCTATGCTTTGTAAGTTCACAAACATCACAATGAAAATTTTTGGCATTTAATCTTTTGAACAAAGAAGGAAACATGTTTTTCAAAGTCCCAAAAGAAGGATGTCCAAGACGAAAATGATAAAGCTAAATTTTTTCTTTATTGGGAGATTTTTCAGAAAGAAGTGATAAACGTAAATTATTCTTGATATTACTTGTATTGTTTGATATCTCAAAATAGTATAGTTCATCTTTGTCCTTAGCAAGTCCAATCCTCTTCCTTGAACTTTGATCTTGAAATTCACAATAAGAGAGATAAAAAGTCACTTTACAATTCATGTTTTTGGTAGGTTTTTGGTGTAGATTTCATATTAATAAACAATCCGGGAACATGAAGAACATTTTTAAGAATAAATGAGGGATTAATTTGAACATCTTCTAATCCTGCCACTGTAGTAAGTGAACCATCTACAACAACAATTTTCTTATTACTAGGACACAGGGTGTATATGTGCTAAACTTCTGTGAGGAATATGTCATATGGTCTATGGCTCCTAAGTCAATGACCCATGAATTTATAATAAGCTTAACTAAGACTTTAATCCATGAGAATTAGAAGCTTTACTTGAACTAGAGACTTGACCCAAAGAACATACTCCAGTAGGCTTCTTAGTTTCTCAATCTCTTCTCTATCCAATTCTTTGTTTCTCAGACTTCTGTAATACTCTGGTGGTTTTACCAGTTGTCACTTCCTCAAATTGGGTAGTAATGGTAGATTCTGCTATCTATCTTTGGCATAGTTATCTTTCTCAAGACTGAAACGGATCTTGATAGTAAAGATTTAACAACAGAGGATTCTACGCAATAAAGGCCAAAGAAGGAAAAAATAAGAGTGAATGATTTAACAAGATTTGGCTATAAAGGCCTAAAATAGAATTCAACAATGAGGGCTGAAAAAATTTTTTTCCCAAGAAGAGTTGGAAGCTTTGATATCATGTAGAAAAACTAAAAAATAAAATTGTGTGAAAAATTAAGAGTAAAACTGAATTTATATTTAAAAACTGCTTATTAAGAATTATACAAGCACCTTGGGTTTATATACAACTAACTAGTGGGTAAAATAGGAAACTAAATCTTCCTAAAACTAATCCTATAATTGAGGGATTGTCTATGCTAATCTTCTGTCCTTAATTCTAGGGACACAAATACTTAATTCTAGATATACAAATGTAAATATATAGACTACAAGATTACAACCAGCTGTAAATAAGTGTTTTCTCACATATGTTATATGCAACAATATATTTGAGTTCATTAGTTTTGTGATTGTGTCATGGTGGCTTTGTTGCTTGAGGTGTAGAATAGCTGATGCTTGAGTGAAAAGAAGCTTTCTTGCATATCTAATCTTCGTCGGTTGAAGAATGTGGATGTTTGTTGATTCACCTTAATTTTGAATTCTAATCCTCTGTTTTTATTTTGTTCTTCTTTCTTTCTCTCTCTCTCACATACACATACACTACTGCTAGAATTTTACTTTATATTATATTTGGCTGAAAAAACTTGAGCAAAACTCCACTTAGAACTTTATTAATTGATTTTTGAAACCTATGTTTCTGCAGTACACCCCTGCTGTTGATATTTGGAGTGTGGGATGTATATTTGCTGAGTTGCTCACGGGAAAACCATTGTTTCCTGGGAAGAATGTGGTGGATCAATTGGATCTTGTGACAGATTTGCTTGGCACACCCTCTGCTGAAACAATTGCAAGGGTCTGCTATCTCCTTTTGATTAGAGAAAATCTTCGTCAGCGCTTGTTGGGAACCTTTTAAAGTTAATTCCTAGCTTTATCCTAAACATGGCGAAGATCTTTTCTTCTAACCATCATGATTCTTGATAATATCTGCAGATCCGGAATGAAAAAGCTAGAAATTATTTGAATAGCATGAGAAAAAAGAAACCAATTCCTTTATCAAAAAAATTTCCGAATACTGATCCATTGGCCGTCAATTTGCTTGAGCGTCTAATTGCATTTGATCCTAATGATCGTCCATCTGCTGAAGAGGTAAACTCTAGGGGTTCTGATAGTTTAAGATTTGGATCCCTTATCTTCATAGTCTACTTTATTTCCTAACTTTTATGATTGTTCTTTATGCAGGCATTAGCTGATCCATATTTCCATGGATTGGCAAATGTGAACAATGAACCATCCATGAAACCCATTTCAAAATTTGAATTTGAATTTGAAAGAAGGAAATTAGCAGAAGATGATGTCAGGGAGCTAATTTACAGAGAGGTATTATTTCCATAGAGATTAGTTCTATCCTTAGTAATATTGTTCTCCATTTTAAGCCCTCTTTCACTTATTGTTTACTTGTGGCACATCTTAATTTAAAATGCAAATAGATTTTAGAGTACCATCCACAGATGCTTCAGGAGTACCTTCAAGGCAATGATCAGATTAGCTTCATGTATCCAAGGTCAGGCATCAAATTATTTTTTCTAACGATGGTTTAGAACAGTTATATATGGTTTAGAACAGTTATATAGAACATAAAACATAAAGATCAAACCCTCTTTGAGTGTCATGACTGACAGTGAGGATCCAGGTCTCAGCTGTTGAAACTATAGAGTGATTAATTATTATCTTTCTTTATTTGCATCATTTTGTTTAGATGCAGAACTGACTTTGATGCTACAAGTCTTTTATTCTTCAAACGAGAGCACAAACTTACAGAGTGTCTGTGCTGAAAGATCGTCATCTTGAGCAAACTGTCATCCATTACGAAATGATGTGATGATTAACACTACTTTGAATTTTCAATGTTTGAAGTACCGTTCTATACATGCTTATTACTTTAATATTTGTCATGACTACCTATTAAATCCCTATATTGTTCTCTTCTCCCCCACAAAGGAACACTTACTCTAGCATATCCACCTCCAACTTGTGAGATGGCATTGTTTGTTCAGTCTTCATAAATTATTATGCAGATTACAATAGTGGTTGCTCATTTCACTTTTAAGCATGTCGCATTACAGAAGAAATGTTTCAAAAACTGCTTGTGTTTTAGCAAGCATTAATGTTTCAAAAACTGCTTATGTTTTAGGTAGCATCTTTAGTGTTGAGAAAACCTTGCGCACAAAAGAGGATTATAATAAAACCTCAACTTTGCATTTAACATCTCAATCTCCTGACCATTTATCTAAGTTCTAATAGGATTATCATCTACAATCTATATGTTACACTACATGAAATTTGCATTTTAGCTTACTGTTTCTGCCCCCTCTTTTATTCTAAATGCTGTTGAATGTTAACTCAATTAAAGTGTTTTATGTCAACCCAGTGGAGTTGATCAGTTTAGGCAACAATTTGCCTGTCTTGAGGAAGACAGCAAAAACGAAAGAGGCATTCTCCTCCAAAGGAAATATACATCTTTGCCTAGGTGAATTGCTGGAACATCGTATTTGCAGTTTCTCTGATTTGAATGTGTCGCTTTTATAATATTGACTATGATCATTTGTTTCTTAGGGAGCGAGTCTGCAATGAGGATACCGATCACATTGATCAATCAAAAAAACGTACGGTGGCTTCTGCTTCTCGTGGAACACTTCAAAGCCCTACAAAATTGCGAGAATCTGGGGAATTGGAATATGCAAACCAGAGCGTGTCAGGGATTCAGAAAGTCTCTGGAAAACCTACGCACACCCCCCGTCGCCTGTTGAAAAGTGATAGCATCAGTGCTTCAAGGTGTGTGGGTGTCATTCGAAAACCTTGTGAGGTATGCGTTCCCTGACTGTGTATTCAATGGCTCTTTGCCAATGTTTCACTTCAAAGGTGTGTTTTAGCCTCTTCTTCTTCTCTAACTCTCTTTCCAGGTGAACAATGAAATACAGAAAGTGGTAGCTTAATGTGCTTGGTCATCAGCGTTCGGCAAAGATAATATGCTGGTGCTCTGTTTTCTTTTTCTAGGTCCTCAACTTTCCTTTGAAGGTTTTTAAACCAGTCTTCATTGGCCATAAAAATGGTGGAAACTTACTAGAGCTCTTCTATGGATGGCTCTTTAATGAACTAATATGTGGTGACCCTACTGATGTAGCTTGTAGCTGTTATTTATGGTTCTTCATACGAAGTTACTTACCTGTTTGCCATTGAGTACGTTTAACAAATTATTTTCATCTCCCAATATGCTATAGTTCACTTGGATTCAGCTACACTTTCTCGTGAATCAAGCAATTCAATTACGGGCACATTTTGGCATTTTTTGTTGTATATATGAAACCAAGACCATATCTACAAACATGAAACATGCAATTCTACCTTAAGATATGGATGCATTTAAAGGGCTCACTCATGAATTTTGAGCTAGTAAGTGATGTCATTCATATATCTGAATACTGGGCATCGATGGCACAAGTGCCTCCGGTCTCTTACAAGATACTGCCATCTAACACTGATAATTACTCTCTCCAACCTTGATCTAACCACTTTCTCTAACTACACGGTGAAGAAGTAGCTAGCGAACATGATTCTCTCTCAAAGTTGTCAGTGTGAATCATTTAACATGTTTCCAGCTTCTTGAATGAGGCAAGAAAACCTTTATATTCTTTCTTAATAATCGTTTATAGCTGCAGCAAATGGCAGACAAGGTGAGAAAATAGGTTTCTGAAATAGAAATTAATGGCCCAATAGTGCAAATTATGGCCTCTAAAGCCTAAACAAAGACCAAACCATAGACCAAGGAGCCAATATTAACTGCAATGGCACTCAAGTAAGGTGTAAGAACAAGTTCTTATGTTAAAACAGAAAATCAGTTGGGACAAAATCAGTTGGTGTCCCAAACAGTATAGTTTCTGTTCTTCACATTGATACAAGTATCACCACGAGTCCATTTCACATGTACGATACTAATACGTTTCCACTCATCTACCAGTGAATTTTCTTTTTCTCGAATTTTCCCCCTTCTATGTTCTAGCCACTTCCATCAAGTTGACCATGAGAAATGAGATGGGCATGTATTGCTGCAACAAGATAACAACAGAGAGAATGGAGCAAGAGAAGCTCAAATTTAGCATAAAAAATCTTCCAATTTATATTAAGTCAAAAGGATTGAAAGTTTTCTTTATGTAATGCATTGTATAAAGAAACAAGCAAACTTGTATAGGAAATTCAAGTTATAAACAGAAAAGCTTAGGAAGCATTAGAGCAATTTGAAAAGAAGAAGGGGAAGGGAAAACTCGAGTGGATTTAATCTGCAGGCCTTATATATCTCAGCACCCAAAAAAGGCCTATCAACAGCAATGAGCTCAATGATCTCTATCCTTTCAAAAATGTATGTAAAGGCAACTTAATACCTATCTGAACGAAAGGGACTGAGAAAAGAAATCAACATGCCTCAAAAACGAGGCAAAGGGTTTTGAGTAAATAAACATTAGGCCAGCTGAAAGGGAAAATATAAACTGAAACCGCTTGGTTGCAATCTGTAATCAGTATGGTAAACCTATTTGCGTCAATGTGGTGTTTCCTCCCATTTAATAGGCACTACTTGGATGAGATGAAAAATCAATATCATTTTTATGAATCATTTTCCTTGTTATCATGGCCCAGTCCCTTCATTCCGAGAAATTGACAATTGACCAAGTAATTACTATCCCAAGAAAAAGCGCGTAGTGCCTTGAAGTTGATTAACTCCTCTTATGAATAAGAGAGGTTGATATGCTGAAATTTAAAAGGTGTAGAAGAAGATGACAAGTATCATGTGTATCTATAAAGAAAGACGTTACTCCAATCAACCCAACTCATAATGCTGTCTTTTACTATCAACATATGGATAGATTTCTAATCCAGCACCTTTTCTAGAACTCATCTTTTGACCATTTTTACCATTGAATTCGAATGGGTTAAATATAAAATTGACCCCCTGTACTCGGGTGAAGCTAGCATCATGACATTGGGTGGTCAAGTATTAAGCCATTAGTAAATTAAATTGGAAGAGGGACCAAAAATGAAAATAACATTGCCAAAACAGTAATTTTAAAGGTATCAAATTTTCTTTTGAGGGGGGCCATGGCCCGTGCCTGCCCCCTCCAGATTTCCCTCTGCCTTTACTACACATTTTTTGCCAGTTGGATATTAATGAAATATTTTTCTCAATTTGGTATCCAAATTTTCAATCTATCAAATACTTTGATACTCCAAACTAACATCGTTAGTCAAGTTACTTATTTGATATTAATATTCAATAAAATCATAACATATGTCATAAATGTCCAGTCATGATTATATCATTTATTTTTCATGTCATTTTTTTTATTGGTTTTTAATCAAATTCTTTTTATTTTTTAAAATTTTTTATTAACACAACAATAATTGACGTAGTAATAATTGAACATTTATGACATACAATATAATTTTATTGGGTATTCATATCACGTTAATCACTTAATTGGCAATAACAATACAAGATATCGAAGGGTTTGATAGAATAGAAGTTGGAATATCAAAATGAGAATTCTATTTTTTTATGTACCAAACTGATAAAAAATAAATAATACGAGGGTCATTTTACATATTAACCCAATTCTAATGGTAACGTTTAATTATTGTTTCAACTTTCATGTAACACCGGAAAACAAAACCTTATCTTCCATACCACGAACGAAATCATAAGTAGATTACTGAAAGAGTGCTTGCACATAAACAAACATACATAGATTGCATTGAATAACTTACCGCATGATAGGCCTATGGCGATTTCCCTTGACGCTTGAAGTGTCTGGCCATAATACAGAACTCAACCGGACCCCACTCTTCCGACTCAAAGCAATTTCCTAATGCCGCTTTATATAACTATCCAAACCAAATATAAAATTTAAATACTGGGAAAGAAATAAAACTAAAAGAAAGAAAGAAGGGTACCTTAGTGGTGTCAGTTAAAAGCTCAGTTCCAGCAGGATAAGAAGCATAGAATTGATCAACGCTTGAAAACCCAGCTCTAGTTGTGCAAAATAAACATAAAAACAAGGCAAACCCATTGAAAGAAAACGCTAAAAAGGATGAAAATCCATCAAAACTAATAATTGAACGTACGCGTTGCTTGTATAAGCGTAGCTCAAAACAGCAACAAAGCAATAGAATCCATTGTATGACATAGTAATTCTAATGCTCCTACTGCACAATACCTGCTCAACAACTCCCATTTCCACTCAACAAATTCTGGGTCTGCCTCTCCATTTGCTAAGTTGATCTCACGCTCATCTTTTGTTAATCTCATAAGAAACCTGTCGGTTGTCTCGATTTAATGTTATCCCACAAATCATATGAAAACATGACAAACTCTTATAGTTTCTTCCTATGTATTGCAAGGCCTCAGGTAAAAATTGACAACAGTGATCAGATGGGGATATAGCTTAATAATGAAATTAATAAATGAAAAAATAAAAAGTAAAGAAGATTTTAGAGCACAGGTTCCATGCACAGATTTTTACAGGGAGAGAGAGAAAGAAAAGGCCATATATAGGTTGTACTGATCATAGTTTACATACCACATTAATACTAAACAAGCATTTTATGCCTCTCAATTGCTTTGGTAACTCGTGCAGTTGGGTCTCTCTTCCTTTCACAAGAAGGATGCAAGCATAACAAGCACTCGTACCCAAACATCAAAACTATCAGACAAAGCAATGAAAACATATTTCAAAGACTTTAACCAAAATCTTTACAAATTTAGAGGGGATATGCAAGGCTAGCCACTAACTCTATATGAGGATGAAAAGAATAGCTAAAACTGCTTTTCTTCGGAACTTTTGAATCTTCAGAATTTCCTTGAAGCCGTCAGAAAGATTGTAGGGCATCATGATTGCTTCTGAAGATTTTGAGTAATTCTAAGAGGGGACTCTTTTATTGTTGACACATTTTATCGAACATGTGGCGTGCTTAAATAAAAGGTGAAAATAATCGGCACCCGAGTTGTGGGTGTTGCGTTAGTAAAGGGACGCTTCTGTCGTCCTGCTTTGAATTTAGTCTCTGCGTCCTACCGTTTGAGTTTCACTTCCTAGGGCCGGATAGCATTGCCTAAAAAAAAAAAAAAATTTGAATTTCGTTTAAAAAGTGTGGTTAAATTTTTAAATATTTATTATTATTGTCAAAAATTATAATGAATAATTAAAATATTTTTAAAAAATGTATAAAATAATAAAATATTATAAATATAAGATAATATAGTAATTTTTTATTTTAAAAATATTTTTTATAATAAAAATACTTCTTGAGTAGTTTTTTTTTTTTTTTTGTGTTGTAAAATCGAATTTTTAAATTGAAAAACTATTTTTTTGTTTAGTATTGAGTTTAAATCAAAAATAATTTTTAAATATAAAATTACTTTAAATAGTAATGCTAAACTAAACTTTAAATCTTATGGTTAAATACTTAAATCTTTTAAATTTTGAGATTGAATAGTTCAATTCAAAATTTTAAAATAATAAAATCTTTAAATTTTTAATTAATAATAAACTATAAATAAAAAATAATTAAATTAAAAAATTACTTAAAAATCGACTCAAAACATTATTATGACACAGATTCAAAGTATTTAATATTAATATACTATGCTTGTAAGTATTACTAGTATTTTACATTGTAAGTAGATTGGATCAACATATTTATCTCAAAATTAAAAAATATATATTATATTTAATTTTTATAAGTAAAAATATCAATTTGTTATATTATTTTTAGTTAAGGTTCGGTTAACAACGCTTATAGATAGTGATTAAGGGTAGTTAAAATACTATTTAAAGAAAATTTTTTACAATATTATTTTTATTAAATTTAAGAACAAATTATACATTAATTACATTTTTCACTAAATATAATCTTAATCAATATCGTTAAAACACCTATTAATATTTCATGAAGTTTTAATTATAAAAACTTCACATGATTTTGTACGTACAAGACAGGATAAGGGTAAAAAATTTTATAATTGTTGAGGATATTTTTGAAAATGAAAAATATTAATTAGTCTCTAATGTATTATTTGGGGAGAGAAAATCATTAAAATAAAAAAATAAAATTGAAATAAGTTGTCGGATTTGTTTAAAGTAATGAATGTCCATTAAACATTGATAAATACGTTAAGAGTGTTTGAACAAATAAAATGCTTAACCAATAATTTATGAATGTGTTTTATTTATATTTATTTATTAAATTTAAAAAATAATAAAAGATAATATTTTACAATTCATTAATTAAATAAAATATCACAAATATAATAAAATTAATTTATATTTAATTTATTTGTAAAAATTAATAATTTGTGTATATAATAAATTTTATTTATTTATATTTATTTATTATATTTAATAAATAATTAAATATAATATTTTATAATTTATTAATTTAATAAGCAAATTACGAACGTAACCATAATATTATTAGTTAACACTTCTAAAACACTTATTTATTATTTTTTAAATAAAGTAATAAATTGGTGGATAATTTATTTAATTTCAATTTATGCTTCATTTCCTGATTTGGGAATCTTATCTTACAGGCCATTCAGATGAAGATTAATAGCCGACTCGTTGGATAAGCCTTGGGCATGAACGTGTCGTCATCCGGATGGATGAACTTGTTCCCGTTGTTCTCCTTTCTTTTGACAAGTAGTTTAAACTATGCAATTAATTCTATTCAACATGGAGGAAATATCAAATTAAATTTCTAAACGGTTCTTTTAATCAATTCTATAATATCAAAATAATTCATTAAAAATGACACGATGTTATGCAGTTTAGAAATATCTTATGTAAAGAAAATAAATAAATTGATTAAAAATAGCTCTAATTGAATAAAAAAGATTTGAATGCTTGATTCTGAAGCGTCCACCAGTACAGGCTCTTAAGTCTCTTTTGTATCAGTACCAGGGGAGTACGTGATTGTCTGTATGAAGAAGCTAAAGATTCTTCCGGCTGCCACATTCTTGATCAACTAGCTCTTATATGTACTAGAACATCACAAGCCAATCACTATAATTTTACAGAACACTTCATAAATATGGGAAGGAAGTCAACAACAAACGCTTGCTTCTTCCTCCTCACGCTTCTTTGCCTCCACTCCTTGTTTTGTCACAGTACTTCAGCTCCTTTCTTTCCCAAAGAAGCCCCCCCCCCCACCAAATCAGGCTACCTCCCAGTCAATCTTGCTACTGATTCTGCTATTTTCTACGCCTTCTATGAAGCTCAAAGCCCCACTTCCCCTCTCTCCAAAACCTCGCTTCTCATTTGGCTCCAAGGTGGCCCCGGTTGCTCCTCCATGATCGGCAACTTCTTTGAGCTTGGACCATGGCGCGCCGTTTCTTCTCACAAGCAAAACGCTAGCCACTTGTCTCATGAGCGCAATCCTGGTCCTTGGAACCGCTTATTTGGTCTTCTTGTTCTTGATAATCCTATTGGAACGGGGTTTAGTATTGCATCAACGCCGCAGGAAATTCCCAGAGACCAAGATTCTGTTGCCTAGCATCTTTTTTCTGCGATTGCAAGTTTTACCTCATTAAACCCATTGTTTAAGTACCGTCCTATTTATATTACTGGTGAGAGTTATGCAGGAAAGTATGTTCCTGCAATTGGGTACTACATTTTGCATAAAAATCCCCAATTGCCAGTGTCACAAAGAGTGAACTTGAAAGGTGTTGCTATAGGTGATGGGTTAACAGACCCCTCACCCAGGTTGCTACTCATGCCGACAATGCTTATTATTCCGGTTTAGTCAACGAGAAGCAAAAGGGAGAACTAGAGGAAGCACAACGGGAGGCGGTTGAGTTGGTTAAAATAGGGAATTGGAATGAGGCAACAAATGCTAGAACCAAGGCCTTGGATCTGTTGCAAAACATGACAGGTTTGGCCATTTTGTATGACTTCTCACTGAAAGAGCCTTACCCGACAAGTATACCAAACGAATTCCTAAACAAAGCTGAGGTAAAGAAAGCATCAGGAGTGAACGAGTCAATTTTAATCGACGAGTGCAGTGATGTTGTAACGGCTGCATTGCATGAAGATGTGATGAAGAGCGTCAAGTACAAGGTGGAATTCTTGGTGAAGAAGAGCAAGGTGTTGTTCTATCACGGGTTATATGATTTGAGGGATGGTGTGGTGTCAACAGAGGCACGGGTGAAGACAAAGAAATGAATTGAGAAGTTGTTGATGGCAGAAAGAAAAGTTTGGAAAGTAAATGGAGAGCTTGCTGGTTATGTGCAAAAATGGGGAAGCTTGACCAATGTCGTGGTTTTAGGTGCTGGGCATCTTGTGACGCCTGATCAAGATTGAATTCTCAGGCTGTTATTAAGGATTGGGTTCTGGAGAAGGCCCACTTTGGAGGAGAGCAAAAAGGTTCATAATCAAAATCCCTCCAATACTTATTTTGGTTTTTGTGCTTTGTAGTGACAAGCAGTGCTAAGCCATGTCTTCTTGTGCTGATCTTATACTACTATTATTGAACCAATTCAAATTAATCAACTATTCAACAGTTAAATTGATTTTTATCTGCACCCATTTACTTAATCTAAAGGCTTGATAAATTAGACCAGGAATTAATAATTGAACTGGAAAGCAAGCACCAGCAGCCCCAGCCACACCGCAAAAACTTTTGAGAAGGAATTCTCAATAAAATTAATTTCAAGATCTAGGATGAACCGATTTATGATATATATTTTTCAAGCAAAATAAGAAAAGCCCTTAAAATTTGCCAAAACCATTTTTACTTATAACCAATTGAAACCCAATTTTTGTTCATAAATTTGAAAAAAGGAAAAAAGGAGAATGAACAGAAATTTTGGAGTAATAGGTATTACATTTTGGAGGCGGGAATGTGGTGAAAAGAATCTGATGGGCACGGGAAAGAAGGGAAATTGGTAAAAAAACTAAAGATCCCATTCTGATGACCAAAGCCCACCAGAAAAAGACCACAAAACCCGTGCTATAATGCCATTGGAAAAAGGTTTGTGTTATGTTTGGGAGTGTTGTAGTCAAAAGAGTTGACATTTTTATTTTTGTTATTTTTATTATAGTATGTTATTCTGTTAGTTTCTGTTATAGAGGCAGTTACAATATTCAATTGTAACATTAAAAGAGGTTGGAAGTGAATGGAAAATCACAAGAAAATTTTCAAGAAATTCTGAAATTCTCTTTTCCTTATTCTCTCAACATTTCTTCCTTCTTTACAGCTTTGTTTTCTGGGTTTTCATTTATAGTCTTGGTAGAAGCCACATAATTGGTATCAAAGCTTTAAATCCTAGCAATGGCAGACGGCACGACAACAAGATTATAGAAAGAGATGGTACAGCTTCAAAAGGAACTTGAGAAGGTCGATAGCAAATTGCTGGCTGCTGGAGAAACATGAAAAAATGAACTCAGAAATGAGTTCCAGACGGAGTTACAAACGTTGGGATTAGAGATGCGTCAATTGTTTACATAAGTTATGGACAGGATGGAGGGTTCAGCAAAGGGGATTGATATCGAAGACTCCATAGCTACTGCTTCCTCTGAGATGAGGAAGAAAACTAGAGCTAAGGTTGCTAAAGAATCGAAAGGAGTCGAAGCAAGGCAGAAGACACCAACTCAGAGACTACCCACTAAATATCCCAAGCTTGAGTGCCTTATATTCTGTGGGGAGGATTTTAGGGGCTGGTTGCTGAAAATGGAGCAGTTTTTTGAGGCAGACCAAACCAACGAACAGGAGAAGCTATGAGTTGTGATGATGCATTTCGAGGGTAGGGCACTGCAATGGCATCAACGGTTCATGAGGAGCCAAGGAACACTCCAGGAGGTAAAGTTGGACTCATTACATTAAGGAAAGGATTCTAGATTTACTGAAAATGAGTACTTTGATCCAATGGTTGAGTTAGTAGTTTTGAAGCAAACTTATACGGTGGACGCTTATTATGAGGAGTTTGAAGGCCTGTTGAATTTGTTGCCCATCACTGATGAAAACGCCCTTAGTATTTTCTTTATTAATCTAAAACTAGAGATTTCTAAACCTATCTGAATGTTCTGCCCAAAATTCCTT